AAAAATGGTTAAAATTCTTTAAAGTTCATGCGTTTCTACTCAGTTTGAACGCTGATTTTGAATATGGTTTTGGTTTTACTGATTTCCAGCGTTGTTCGAGCAGCATGCGAAAAATAATAATGACAAATAGCATAAAAACATCTACATACCTTGATATTTTTACGGTAATTTTTTGTGGCCAACGCTTTTCCACAATTGTTTTACTTAAAACAGTAGATCCGATCAAGATCTATCTTATAATACAGAATTCATACTGGTTCCGATTAAACTCGAGATTATTCTCTTAGCCCTCTCATCAGAGATCAGGATCATTTTTCAAAAAATTTGATTTGTTGCTCTTATCATGACTTCCTGGCCGAGGTTTTTTCAGCGATTTTTTTACATAGAACTCTAGATCTGATCAAGATCTAGGGAATGAGAAGTGATAGAAGTTAAAAAGTCGGTGGATGTTAGGCGTATTTAAAACGTAACATAAGGTTAAATCCTCATTTTGAGTATTAAAGTTTGGGCTGTCTGTGCCTACAAAACATATAGTATATTGAACAGATTTTGCTATAAAACAATTTTTGACATCGCTTTTGATAATTTTGGTAGGGAAAATCCCGGTTCCTGCAGGGGGCCGATTTCGGCTCTTAACGCCCCTCGTCCTTTTTGAACTGACTGGAAAAAATGCCGAAGATAAAAAGAAGATCTATATCTCAAAGAAATGCCGAGTGAGATGAGAGAGAGAACGAGAGAAAGAAGAACTGATGATGAGTTCCGCTTGTTAGTCAATAGACGACGAGCGAATTCTCTTAAAATTGAACGTAAAAATAATGAATTTAAAACTCGGGGAAATGAAAGAAGATTAAAGCCGCTTCAAATACAATGTGAAGAGGAAGAATACAAAGAGGAAGAGAGAAGAAGAAATGCATTAAGTATGTATTATAGTAGAGATAAATACAAAAATAATTTTGTTGATGTCATGAAACCAAATTACGAGTCAAAAATAAAAGAAGGACCTATTCATATTTGCAACTATTGCGGTGGTTTATGGTTTGAGTATTCAATCAGAGAATTGACAATTGAGATGTTAGCAAACAAAGGATTAAAAAAATAATTTATTGATACAATTTGTTATCTCAAAAATACAATCATCAAATTATGTGTCACTTGTAGAAAGGACATCATGTTGAATAAAGTATCCAATCTTTGTCTATCTAATGGTTTAGCATTCTCTGAGGTACCGGATTCCTTGAAAAGCTTCACTGAATTAGAAGAAAGATTGATATCACCAAGAATTCCTTTTATGGTAATTCGAACTTTAAGCTTTTGTAAACAATTTAGTCTCAAAGGTACTTTAGTAAATGTTCCCATGAATGTTGAGACAAATGTTTCAATATTACCCAGAAGTTTTAGCGATATGTGAAAATATAATTGTTGTTGGTGATATCAATATAGATCTGAAGATAAAAACCAATCACAAATTTATTAAATATATGGAATCATTCAGGCGTACTTTGATTAATAAACTAAGTAAAAGTTCAACTCATGCTAAAACGCAGATTGACTATTGCTTCAATAATGTGAATGACTTGAAATCTGATTATTTTGAAAGTCTCACAAGTTTTCATAAACCAATATGGATAAGAAAACATGAAATTGTGACTCAATTTCTTGTTGATGAAAACGAACACAGTCGTACAGATACACCTTTTAACCTTGAAGATCTTAGAATTGATGATCAATTTAATATGATGGAGATTGACGAGGAATCCTCTTTCGAAGGTCATGAAATGATTGATGGAAACGAGCAAATTCATAAAGGATATGCCTTTTAATTTCAAAGATCATAACATTTATGATCAATACGATACGGTGGAAGTTGATGAAGAATCTTGTTTCGAAAACTATGAAATGATTTATTTAAACTCAAGAAAGATTCTTGATCACTGTTTTCTCTACATGATATTAATAATAATACTGTGACTATAGATCAAATTTTAAGTCAAGCTCAAACGATTCATCATTCACTTGAAAGCTCACCATATGTAACTGTGCATAATAAAGATCAATCTGTTAAATTGAGACCGAGAACAGAATATTCTGTTCAAGCATTTGATTCAGTTTACGCAAGAGCTCGTGCCACTTCAGATGGCAATTGTTTGTATAATTCTCTTTCAATAATTAAGATTGGATCTGAAAAACTAACACAGTCAATGAGGCTATTGGCAATCAATGCGGTGATTAATAATAGTGATCATTTCAAAAACATTTGTAGGACATTGAAGTATTCATTCGAAGAGCAGTTGAATAGAATACCACGGATGGACAATGGACTGGAGAAGTTCAAATTCAGGCGCTTTCTATAGTTTTATGTCAGCCTATTTATTCATATGTCAAATTCGACAATAATCCAAAACATGAACACCATATTCCATCTGATATCAGTATACAGAAACTAATCGATAGATTCGATAAAGATACTGCAGGTGGTCATCTTAAATATATTGGATATAACTCAGATATAAATAAATTGAGTTTATGTGTTCACTTCACTGACAATCATTATGATGCTCTCGTACCCTTCACAAATAGTCCTCAACAATGTATACTCAAACATGACATAATTAATATGAGTTTATAAAATGAAATCAGGTTTAACTAAAATAAACAAGTTTTTAATTGTACAAATAAATAAAGTCTCCTGAACTAATTCCTCGCCGCATCCTATAGGACCAAAAGAGGGCATCCGCAGGGCCTAAGAAACAGTTCCTTAGTGCGCTCAAGGATGAATTATTTTAGACAGTTTGATCAGAACTAATTTGCCATCAGCTTCACTTTTTGAATTACACATAACACTCGGATTTAAATCCGAGGCTTCCACATTTATTTATTATTGAATTCAAACTTACCACTTGGATCTTGTCGAATTGTAGTTGAAAGCGAAAACAGTTGAAGAACGTATATATGACATAGGACTGTTTCAATAGTATTTAAATGGTTTCAGATTTGGAAAACAAAATGATTCACGATCTAATCTGTTATACTTGATACTGTGAGCAGTTTTATTTCACTAGATACATCCGAAACTGAGCTATGACAAAGAGTAAAAACTTATTTTGAGAGGTTTTAGGACTGTGATATCTTTCATTCTACAGACTATTCTAAAAGCATTCAAACTCTAGTAGTCTTTCGTTACATCAAATAGAAACTCGAGATCGGATTTCGAGTTGTTGGTGCACATTTTAGCAATTGAGTAAACCCAGAAAATCTTCGGCTTGTCTGGAGAAATATTTTGGAAACTCAACGGATAATCTAATATACCTCATTAGATTTTGAGTCAAGTTTACAATATAGTGTATGTTTCCTTGAATACCCAAGTGATTTCTGAAAATACAATTAGGTTTCCATTATCGGGGGAAAGGGGATTCAAAATATACTCTGAGCGCTGTTACTCAGGTTACATGTTTTATTAGATCTTTAACTTGTCCGACTCTTATTGAAAAGCGCTTGATATACAGAAAGCTATGATAACTCAAACATGTAGCTGTTAAATTACTTTTTCAATATTTCTTGTACGAAAATAGTGAATTTTCTAATTTAAAAACATTACTCGAAATAATGCTTTGAAATACATTGAATAATAATACATTATCCTCAATTTCTACATTATGCCTGATAATGCTTTAATTCATTTTTTTGAAAAAATGGAAAATAATGGGTCATTTTCCCATTATTCATCCATTATTGGCTACATGGGATGGTAGCCTAGTTTAGTTATTAAGGTCCGTAATGATAATTAGAGACATAGAATTCTAATTACAGTGATCTCTAATTAGTGATTTCTTTAGTGGAATGAGTGGGCAGTCGCAATAAGCTTCGCTTTAAAATTTATATTCACTATTTCCTTTGAATCTTCATGGCATGGAAAAAACCGTTCATGTTCAGCAATAACTTACGACGAACGAATTCTCTTCGCATTATCTAAATGATCTATTGCTCGTTTATATATAATAAACACTGACTTTGATCAGTGGTGGAGTCAGGGAGGGTGTAGCGCCTTGATGAGGATCAGAGACGCTTCGAATAATAATGCCAGGTGCCACAGTATTGGTTATGGCAGAATGACAACAACGAAAATTAAATAGTATTGAATATTGGATGAAGATCCAATTGTTTATTCAATGAACAGAAATAGTTGAGAATAATAAGAAGAACTCCACAAGCAATTAGCTGACACGAGTTCGAACGATTGTAAGGAACAATCGAGTTAGGTTGATTGTAAAGAACAATCAAGTTGAAAAGAAAAAGGTAGTATGTAATTGATCAAAAAGAAAAATAGTAGTCAGAGAAGAAAAAGAAGAATTAGTATATCTCAGTGAAGAGAGATATATCAAGAAGCTTCTAAGAAACTTGAGGAGAAAAAGAGAGAGTAATTATATCTCATTTCTCTGAGTCTAAGCGCGAAAAACGAAATAATGGTGCCAATGTTGAAAATAACAAACACGACAATAAGCAATAAGAGAGAACAACACAGAGGAGAAACAATATACATGATACAACAAACATCAAGACAAGATCAGTGACGTTGCTGTCGTCACAGAGGGGATAGGAGGCTCAGCCCCCCTGGTCAAATTTTTAAGGGATGAATTTTCTATAAAAAGATGTATAAGTCTTTGAAATTGAAGATTTGAATACTTTAGTTATTGTGCGAAGCTCGAATCTGTTTCGGACGAGAATAGAATACTTTAATTCTAATTCCCAATTAGGTTCTAGAAATTATAACCTATCCTTCCAACACATAACTAATGATTGGAAGATTTTCAGATAATATATGTTGTTCATTATCACTCAACTAGAATGCATTTCAGACAAGTCGAAAGCTCGTCTATGGCTTAAGTTTTGCTCTTTTTCGAAAATGGGCTAATAAATGTTGTGGATATTTTTATTCAAATATAGTGAAGGATTTAGTGCAGAGCGTGAAAAGTTACTTTCCATGATGGGCTAACAACTTTTTGTCTGAACCGTAAGCTACTTTACGAATATGTTAAGAATTGTAGTAATCCGTCATTTCTGGCGCGAATATTTCCCGACAAAGTGAGATATTAATTCTCCACCCATTTCTTAAGAGCTTGTCTTAACGTGAAATGATTTTTGGCAAAAAGTCGATTTTTTAGAAATGAGTTTTGGGAAGAACAGTTAACTGAGATGCCTGAGGGAGAGCCAAGAAACTTCATATAGTCCATTTTTTAGGATATCTTCGATTCTGCAAGCTGATTTATAGGGCAGGATACAAAGTTTTCTTTTCGAACTGGAAACCAAAATACAAAAATGAATGGAAAATGTTTCTATCGTGGCCTATTTGTTTGATTTTCTAAAGACTATTTCACTGATTATTTTCGAAGGGAAACAGAGAATTCTAAGTCAATTTTCAAAAAGGACACCAAATTTTGATAGTATCTAATAATAGTTTTAAGCAAGGCGAAATTACTTTCCGTTGAGGTACAAGTGAAAAAGCATTTTGCCTGAAAACTTTCCAATCACCTATTAATACATTTTTGGATTAGACAAAAACACATCTTTCAAAAATCTCTTCAGATATCAGTAATAATCGACAAACAGCAACAGTAAAGTTATAAAACTTTCTCAGTTTTGGTTGGTTTTTTCAATTTCTGTTTTTGTTTTTGGGTATTAAGAACATGCTTCAGCTTGATGTGAGTTTTTTGTAGTATCAGATATAATAATAGTAAAAATTTTTGGAACCCGTCCTATTGAAAAAATCAAAATACATAGAAAAAATTGTCTTATGACTCAATATATGAGGGGCCTGAGCCCCTCCCCCCCCCCACCCCCGTCCTAGACCAAAATCCTGACTCCTTCACTGGTTTTGATGATTAAAATCATAACACAAATGTCAACAAATGTAATGTTGAGAGTTTGAAATTAGCTCCAAGAAACATATATTAGTTTGCTCCAGTTTTCGAAACAATAAAATCTTATTTTCTAGAAATAGTTTCCATGACTCAAAATTTTATAAATAAAGCATATTCGAATAGAATGAATCATATGAGAGTCAGTATAAATATTGATATGTGTAAATCATACTGATTGATGGTGTGATACCAAAATAAAAGAATTATTTGACGATCATTTAATGTTGATTTTCTTCATAACGATCAACCTCCTCACATGAAACATCGGCGTTCTCCTCTTCTTGTATTGTCTGTTGGATAGTAGCACAATACAATTTCATACAAATGGGCATCTGCAAGTTTTCCAACAAAGTTTCTGTTACATAAAGACGTTCTGAAATAAACATAATGTGCTACCAGGATAGAAGAAAATTCTATTGAATTTTTGATATCGATTTTAACGTTGTAAATATTTAGCATTTACTTGTCAAAACGAAACGGGACTCGATTTATTCTGAAAGGCTGTGTCATATGATAATAAAAGCTAAAAGTCACATGAAATATGAGAAACTCTGATCAATTTTGCTATTCGCCGTGTATGCATAGATTGCCGTTTTTAATTTGCGAAGAAAAAGAATCAAGTACCTGACAGGGTGTGTATTTGATAATTTTCGTACTGGTGAATTACGTGTGTAGAAGCGAGATTTCTATTCTTTTTTTTTATATTATATAGCATCCAAAAGCTTCATATTCTTTACTTGGCGAATATTTTCACATCATACTCTTGATAGCTATAACGAATATGAGTAATTTACATCATTTTGCTTTAGTTTGTATGATTTTATTCGGTAAAAAAAAGATTTAACATTGCTTATAAATTTACGGAATGTGTTTTTTTCTAGTTTTGAATCGAGCAGCTGACGGACTTATATGTTATTCATGCAGTGGATGTTCTGGAGAAGTAAATAAAAATGATACAGAAACAAAAACAGTACCTAATAATCAAGGATATTCTTGTGTAGTAAGTTCGTGAATTTTAAAATTAGAAATAATCTTTTGATTTTCATCAATTTATAGAAAATGTGGACACCTATCTATGTGAAAAGAGATGTAATGAAATATTGCATTGAAGGCAATGTGGCGGGTGTTGGTACATGGTGTTGTCAGACTGATTACTGTAACGATGCTACACAAATCATTACAACAAGTTGTCTATGGTTAAGCGTTGGTGCTTTTGTTTTAATGAAATTATTCTAAAACAAGACTTTTCAATGAAAATACATATCCATTTTATGACTGTGTTAAAATATTAGTACGTTGAATAAAGTCCAGTAACTTTCTCGTTTAGAAATAATTAATACAAACGATATTTTATTTCAGAATGATCCTATGCATTAAAATCTACGAAATTTTTATTCACATGTTCAGCATAATCAAAATTTTTTATTAACTCAATAAAACTTGTAAAAATACTCGTAACTGCCAATAGAAGATGTATAAACGAATGTAAACTATCCCCTAAATTATATAGCACAATCTTTTTAAAATGCAGTATTCTTTAAATAAACTTCTAACCAGACTGTTTTTCTTGATCACGTTTCGAATATTTATTATAACAGACGAAAGAATCACCATAGAATTAATCACTCTACTATGTACGTATTCGAAGTAAATGATTTGATGCATTGGGAACTGAAATTTCTTATTAGTTGTAGGTAATTATAATATATCATAACGAATAGCAAATGAGAGCTAATAGTTGAAATTCACTGTTCGCATAACTGTTATTCAGAGTAATCGGCAAAACACAGACAATATTCTAAATACGAGACCACCAACATAAATTGATTAAAACAAAAGCCAGTATCAGGTACCATATGGATTACATAATAGCATTCGTTTGCATTCTGCCAATCATATTCATGTTCCGTAGAATATTTTAATAATGCACTAACTATTCTTATAAAGCCATGGGTGCCAACTTTTATTTTGAGCATTTACTTCATTCTATCGTGAGAGTGTCAACGAAGAAAGTAAATCTGGTATTTGTTTTTGATAAAATCTCGCTCATACGATATGCTAATGTTTTATATTGACGTCAAGCATAAAGAGTAATGGAACGTGTTTTCATCATATCAAACGCTGGCTCATGTTTTATTTCTATGTGAAATAGATCCGCTCGAGTTCTCATGGGACATAAAAAATCAAAATTATATCATCATCCACAAGTAGAAAAAAGCTATACAACATTAACGATGAGTCAAATCCGATATATATGTCGACACACAAATTTAATTGACAAAGAAGTTTGTCGGCGACATGACCAATTTTTAAAAATGTCAGAAGATGGTCTATTGACCATGGGACAATTCACAAGTATTTTACAAGCAATATGGCCTACAGGCAACGTTAATGAATTTGCCGATTATGTATTTAATTTATAGTAAGCGAATCAATTTCATTTCAATAAAATCTACAAAACATTCTTCTTTGGTTTTAGTGATAAAGATAAACAAGGATTTCTTGAATTCACTGAATTCATCATTCTTAATTGTCAATTGAATAATGGTGAGATGGAAGATTTACTTTTTCGTAACTCTAATTTTTTTTATAAAGATATAATGACATCAACAGATTTCGTGCTAACGTAAAATACCATCTTAAAATAATCAATTCTGTTTCTCAAAATAGATATTCTACTTTCAGTGTTTGATTTGAGAGATAATAAAGTTAATTACGTTATCATTTTCATTTTTATATATTAGATCAATTTTATCGTGGTTGCTTATTCGATATGATCGATACGCATCACAAAGGGTCGGTTATTATATTTGTCATGGCTTTTTCTCTCAGCCTGATGTTTTTTTTTCACTAGTTTATTGTCTCGAGAAAAGATTGAACCACTCTTCATGGCTTTATTCAAACTAATTGGACATTCCACAAACGAACAAAATGGTACTAGCATCTCTCAACGACATATTGTTCATTTGCTTCAAGTAATTGATGAAAGTAAGAATAAATGTTTATCGCGCAATCAATTTATCAATATTGGAAATACTATCTGGACTGATGAAGACAATGGAATAGGTGTTCTACTCGCTGAACATCCATGTTGAACTATATAGAATTAACAAAATTTTAATTATTTCTCATGCGATGTTTGATAGTCAACTGTTAATAGTATTGCTAAATCTAATGATTACTGTGTTGATTATTGAATCATTTTAAAGATAAATCTCTACCGATATAGAGATTCTATTTTATGAGTTGTAATTCTAATATATCCATCATAATATCTAGGAAAGATGATGCTATTATTTCATTTCAGCAACATTCCGAATGCAATTGATTTTTCTAATTTATTCACGATGACTTCAAATATTAAGATATTCTTTTGAATTCCACTCACTAGTAATAAACCGATGTGTTCATATATTTTTTCATAGAAATTTGAGCATATTTCTATGAATAGAGCCCTTTGACTTGTAAAAGCATTCGCATCAATCGTAAAATGAAAATAAACATTATTTGTATGATGGTTAAATATTAGACTAAATTTCAAAATATATCCACAGTATCCATACGACAATTCTGATACAAGCCTGCTAAGTTTTTACAAGCAAATACTTAATTCAAAACACTCGACGGCATTTACGATGATTACTTTTATGTCTTTATCAGATTATACGATAATAAACTAAATATTGGGCAACTACATATACTGATATTTTGTAGGTAGCTTTTTTCAACAAGCTTTCCTCTATTGACATGCGTAAGGATAAACGTAAAGTTCTTGTGCTTCATTATATTTTCGATAATAGTGATTTTTTAATGAAACGAAACGAAATTCGTCATGATCATTTGGTATATTTACGTCAATGTTCAAAGGAAAAGGGTGGCAAGGTTGAATTCAAAGTGTCTGAATCATTAAGTGGCAAGAGCTTTTATTGGCCTTTAACAACTGGTGAAGATGAAATGATACAATTCATGCAAGAAGATCCGTATTATAAAAAAGGAGTTGTCATTGATGTTCTCATTTATCGATATACAGTTAGGGAAAGATATGGAATATAAAAATCAAATTATTGTCGAAGCAAAAACCAATAAGACAGCATAAATGAAACTATCCGAAATTTACACCAATCAGAACACGTGCTAAACTTCTTATCCTTGATAATAGACTATGATGTGTATGGAATGATCAAAATCGATTTCTTACTGGCACTATGACTTTCTTTAATACTCGATTAGAATCATGATAGTAAATAACGAAAAAGAATTCATCTTTTACGACTATTTTATTAATGAAATAAAAATCTGTATGTGCTTTTGAATTTAACTGTCTAAGTCATAAAATCCTTTTCCATTGGTAACAGAACGTGCAGCTTGTTCGAGGTTTTTACGAATAAGTGTTGCCATATTCTTTTGTTGACGTTGAATGGTTTTATCAGCTTTATTTGCTTCCTTAAGACCCTTGAGAAAAGCTTGACAATCGTTCGATAAGATCTCTTGGTTTTTGGTATCCTTTAAGTATGCAATGAAATTAGTTAATTGCAAGTTTAAAATCGTATTGTATGATGAATTTGCTTGAAGAATATCGACAACTGAAAGAATTTCTTTCAAATACATTTGGGCTACTGTAGAATTCGAGCAAAATTTAAAATATTTTCGTTGGACTCGGGATAGCTTTTGATCCGAATCTGATGAATCGAGTTTTTCTCGATGTGCCCGGCCCTCATTCTTGCTTGCTGCTATAATATTTATAGTAAAGAATGCCTAAAAGATATTCAAAGTAGAAGTTTTGTATATTACAGTTTTAAAAGAAACATTTACCAAAAACACCAACAGTAACTTGGCCATTTCAAAAGTGTTCTACACAACTGAGATTTACTCGATGCTTTTACTATGACATGAGTATTATATGTTTGCTTTGTCTTTTCCAAAGTCATGATTTTTCTTTATTTGGTGATAATGGAATCAAGAACTAGTCGGACGATAAAAAAAATGCCTAAGTAAATTTACTTATTTCTGTTTTGATAAATATTTGACGGAAGTTGTGCGCATAGTCATATACTTTGGTTATTCATCGAGGCAATATTGGAAGTATGTGTTCAAATTGCTGACGTATAATCATGTTTTTCTCAAGGCATTTATTAAAAATTAACTAAAATTTGACTAACATCGAAACAGTTAGTCATAGCGATATTTATTTTCTTATATGTGAAGTAATCATCGGAAGGATTGTCTGAGAAAATCCAAACATGATCGCTTTATATTAGCAATATTTTAATTACGAGAAAATTTCTTTTCTCCGCAAGAATACATTGCTCTTTCTACATTATTTTCTATCCATTCGTATTTGATGATACGTGAACACTCTGAAATCTGCAAGGTTTCCTCATACAAGCCATTCGCAAACTTCAGATAAACTGCCGTTAAATTAATAATCCCGCTTTCTATTATTTAAAGAGCATAAAAGTCTTTCTGTAGTTTTTGGTTCATCATAAAATCACAGTTAATTTATTTCAAAATTTCATTTCATCAAATAAAAAACAATTTAGTTCACATATATACTACAAAAAAAAAACAACATTTCTATTTCTTAATCATTCATATCTGTATCGATGGATGTATCAGCAAATTGATGAGTCGCCACCATCATTCTCATCTCATTAATTAAATCATCTAATGAAAGCAAATTCTCTCTGGTATAATCAACTGGTAATGCACAAATTGTTGTTTGTAAAGCCGTTAAACATTCAGTTAAAATTGATTTGTTAATATTACCCTTTAAATAAATAAATAGATAAAGAACGCAATTGCTTTTGAATAGATTTAATTTACTTGTTGAAAAAGTCGTGTTATGAATTTAAATGTTAGTCGGCTAATATTTCGGCATAGAGTATCTTCATCATTTTCATCATCGTTAACTAACATGTGTGTTCGTTGTTGGTTAATATGAAGAATAAAAAGTGAACGAAGCAATTGAAGAATTACAATAATTACCGATACTTGTGAATCTAATTAAAGAGAATTAATTTACAAAAAAAAGGATAATTCTTTTAAAAACGTACTATCAAAAATTTTCGTTTCGATGTAATGTTCAATACCAGATAGATTCGAAAGAATTGTTGAAATTTTAGAATTATTTTCTATTGCATGTATTAAACATGCTGTTGCTTCTTCACTTACATGTGACTGAAATAAAATTTTGATTAAAAAGAAGGCGTTCATCACACGCGCAATTTATTGAATATTCTACTCGTGAACAAAAGAAAAACTTATTCGTACATCTCGTCTAAGCCGAAAGTAGCATCGAACAAGAGAATAAAAATAGTTTTTCTAACCTTAAATATATTCATATAAACATGAATAATATATGGCCATATTGTTGTTGATTGAAATTGATCTTCACTCATTTGAATAAGACTAAGAAGATAGTTTAAAGCTAATTGTTGTGTTCGATTATTATCTTGAAATATTCCACTTGACCAATGATAGATCGTTTTTGTTGAAAACACTTCCGGATAAATTCTAGACGAAATTATAATCACATATTCTTAGTTACATCATCGAGTAGCATACTTACGCTAATATATCATTAATCAATTTATATATTGAATTTGTATTCAATACAGAAATGAGTTCGTATTCCTCGGACGAAATTCTCATTAGTAAATGTTGAACATAGTGACGAATCGATTCTTTATCGAGTTCTTTATGAGTTAATAAAGTTCGAAAAAGTCGAATCGAATAATTAAAATCATATCTATCTTCCTAAACATTGAAACACAAAATTCTTACAAAAAATAACAGCGAAGCATGTTAACAATTAACCTGTGAAACAATCGAATAGATACATTCATCAAAAGCTTCTTTAGGTATCCATGAATTAGGACAAATTTCAGATAATTCAATCAATGCTTGAAATGCCAGTTGACCAATTTGTGGTTCAGAATCACTTAAATAAAAGAAATTTATATTAACTAATAGAAATAAAATACACGACTTACGATAGACGTGGTACCAAAGCCTTATTAGATACCATTGATATAAATTCAAAGATTTTGGTGGCATCCTAAATGAGCAAATGAATCAGTTTCATAAATTATGAACACTCCGATCAATATTTCATTTGTATGAATTCAATTTTCGATTACAATAAATTCACTCAACGAATATTCAGAGTGATGTCTGTGGTCTCCATGTGAAGGCTTTGAATGTTGCTGCAAATGTTCAAGTACTGCTTAAGAGTCTTTCTAGAAGATTTCGATCTATTATGAATCATGCTGTAGTTTGACACAGAAACTACCTTCGAGCTCAGCTGGAAGAACTCTATTGAACATAAAATTAAGTCAATGATTCTACGACTTACCTTATTTCCGATAAAAGGTGAAATTTTTCCTGGTTTATTTCGTCTCCCATGAACAACAGTTGTCATTAAACCACGAAGAATAGCTTCAACTACAATGGAAGAAAAATACTTTTGAAATTAAAGCGATTATGATCTTACGAGCAAGTAATATCGTAAAACGATATTCAATAATAGGTGATTGAATATCATCGATTAATAGAAAAATCACTTTTTTTAAATTGGCTTCATTATTCATTCGTAGGACATCATCGAAACGAAGACAAGCAAGTGTGGAAAAAAATGCTTCAAAACGTTTATAATTTTTTTCTATTTCATCGTCTTTTGATTTTAAATTCATCAAGACTTTTTTGCCTGACCAATTCTAAATCGACAAAAACAAAACATAGAATCCATCTATTAGACTTTTCATATCTTACTTCTTTAATAATGATATCCTTTTCTTCTCGATTCATATCAATAAATTGTTCAAAATCATATGTTTTAGATATACAACCAACACGTAATAGAATAAATGAAAGTATATAGGAATTAGCTGCTTCATCGTCCATGCTACCATAAAGTGCGAGTGTATTCTCAACTAGTTGCACTGTTGCGGCTATCATCTAAAATATTTTTAAAATGTGAAAAAACAAAATCAGTTTAGACTAAACTTACAGATTGATCAAGACTTCTCTTATAATAAATATTCAAATATTGTGCAACATATGGATATCGATGTTGTGATAATTCATTTTGATTATTAGTTGTTCGATGTGGTGATGGACTAGCATTTGATGTTACAGTAAATTCACCTGATTCACTTAGAAACGATGTAAATGAAGTATTCGTATTATCAGTAGAAAAAGAATCATCTTGAGATGATGGTGGTGGTCGAACCATGATGATGTAAGCGGAGAAAGAAAATGATTTTCGTTTTCTATTTTACAGTTGTTTATATAGATGTTACCACGCTCAAATGATTCATTGGCCAACGAAAGAAATAAGAATGGATAAAGTCGAGAAGAAGAGAAAAGTAGTTAGCGTAATAGTAACGATTGTTTTGTTGTTCTGTTGAATAACGAAAGAAAAATGGATCAAAACGAAAATATGAGATTGAATATTACACACATAAGTTTGATCGTTGGTACCCATGCAAATGTCTGTCTCGTTTTTTTTTTCAAAAATAGTTATATTTCGATTAGAATAATACTCACGTTTATGTCAGCGCTACTATCGTCGTTTGTTTCCAAGAGATATTTTATTTCACGGTTTTCCATCTTGAAGCTATTGGAAAAACCAATGAAGTTATAAAACATGAATTATGTCATCTGCTCTCCGTTACTGAAATCAATGATACTATAGCATGATTCATCTTCGAAGATTTATTCTTGAAATGTTCAAAAAACAGCAATCGGAAGAAAAAATTAAACTATCATTTTCTATCAGAGCTCGTGACTCTTTTCAATAATCTAGAAAATTATAGTACATATTGCGAATGCCAATTAACATACGTAGGAAAAGTTGGTTCTTATCAAAAAATGTGCAATAACTCTTTTTTTTTACGAATTAGAATTCGAGTAAAGGATAAAAGATTAATTCATTAAACCAATCATTTTCTCTCTCAATTCTAGACGAATAGTTTTTTTCGTCTTAGCAGCTGTTTTTTAATCGAAAGTAATAAAACAAGAATTTAACAGCTTGCTGCTGTTGTTAATCAATTTGCAAACGCTTAATCATGAAAACGGGTATTCTGTTTTACAGAAGAGAAGCCATATTTGTAAATTCACTTCAAAACGTATCGTCTGAAGATATTTCTTTCAAACTCAATAAAAACTTTACCAGATCAACATTTAACATTATTTTTATGTGCAACATCTTTTTTCCATATGAGTAAAGACATGGCCTAGTAAAACGTCGTTTTAAAAATGGATTAAGTTCTTGTTCGAGTAACAATTACGCGTAGAAGCATTTTTTTCCCTTGATTATCTGTTCACCAAAAAAACATTTTCTTCTAAAGATCTAATAAAAAGAAAGTGAGTTTATCTCTAGGTAAATACTCTGCCAACATGATTGAATAAGCGAGCCTAACAATACTTCTATTATTATTCGCAATCGAAAGAAATAACAATTCACAAATGTTTCATTAAGTGTGCATGATTGGAGTAATGCATTTTTTTTGTCTTCAAACGTTGACTGCGGGTTGATTTATTGCAAAATGAGAGAACATAGAAGAAGAAAACGTTTTTGCATGAATTTCTTTCTTTTCCTTTTCTTCGTTCTCTTATTTCATGCATTGAATGACATAACATCATTATTCTCCACATACAACAGAGAAATAGTTACTAAATTATGGCAGCAACATCAGTAAATAACAACGATCAAGTAAGCTTTGATTATCGAATTGTTAAACGATGTTATAAATATGTACATATTAAAGATAACAAATGATCCGAATCAGTTGCTGTTAACAGATGTTAAACTTTTCTCGATTATTGGTGACGAAGATGAAACTGACTTCGATGAAACAACAGCAGTGGCCAGTACAGAAAAAGAATCGACAGTTAAACCGTCAGAAGTGTCCGTACCTCCTCGACAAGTATCATCTTTTTCGATGGCAACATCATCGGTGACAATAAAATCGTCGAAATCTAATTCATATAGGTTTGTTCAATTACAACGAGCTCTTGCAACAACGAGTCTTTTAAGAAAGCTCGATGATCAACAAAAATTTGAAAATGACTATCTTACTTCTTTACAAGAAAATACATTTGAAGAATTCTTACAGAATTATTATCGTAAAATCTATGATCATAATCAACGTATCAAACAAAAGGAACAGGCAAAAAAAGAACGAATATTTACTTTTGTTGATCTCGAAAAAAACTTTTTCGCACTTGATCCAACACGAGATATTAAAATTTTATTTGTTGATGAGCCAACAAGATCGTCGATATCAAGAAGCACGTATGTTTATGTTGATAAATTGTTTCTACAATTGTTATCGAAAATGCTTGCTTAGTTGATATAACTACTGGTATGAGAATGGTCCTCCTTTTCCTCCTTTTGTCATTTAAGATAAAAAAATCAAAATTTTAAATATTTCAAGCAAAAATGTTTTGATGAGTCAGAAATTCAAAAATATTTCAAATAATTTATAGTAGCATTAATACGACAGGGTATTAATTTTCAATGAAAATCAAATTATATTTTGAGTTTCTAATATTATAGAATTGACATCTCATGCAATTAGATAGAAATGTGAACAATTACGTATAAATTTTTAATATGTAACATTAAAAGATAACACAATTACAATTGCAATTACAAAGATAGAGGAAGAAAGAGACAAAAGAACAAAACAAACAGCTAACACAATTATGCAATTATTATATGTGCAAATGTCGTTCGCTTTTTCTTTTGTTTTCTTCATGTATTGCGCTTTACGCAAGTTGTAATTAGGTCGTCTTTTTATGCTATGCATTAAGAATTTATACATAAATATTTACTTTACCTTCGAATATTTTCATTTCTTGATGATTGCAACTCCAAAGCATTGAAAACTCGAAATAAAGTTGTTTTCTTTTGTACAAACTATATCAGTATTAATTCAAGACGAAAATATTTATTGTGGCTAATACTAATGTTTATATTTATGGTACACGACAGTTAGATCATTTTCTTTGTAATAATCAGTTGTTTGATTTCATTTATTATATTTTGTTCTAAGTGATTGCTTTTTCGAGCTTTTTATTTAAAATTTATACATAAGCATTTGTTGAAATTATGTTAAATATCTTAATAAAACTTATTCAGAATACTAAGAAGCTCGAACTTGCGTAGGAGTCTTATTTTTTCGAGAAGACAGAAATCCTCCTTACCAGATAGAAAACGAACTAAATATTGAGTAACAATATTTCAAAAGGAAATTTAATCTTTCTCTTTATTAGAAAGAATAGAATATCCTGAAGTAACATAATATGGTTTCGAGCACGGATGTGTTCAAGGGGTGTACAAGGACTGAGAATTAGGCATTCCTTCTCAGATCCCTACAGTTCATTGCATACTAAAGGTAAAAACATGGAATATTCACAATAATTTTTGTTCTTACACATAGCTTCACCTACAAAATTGTTAGAGTCAATAGTTTCGTGCACAAATTATTTTAAAAAAAGTAATATCACGACTTTCGTGAATGGTGGAACTGTGAACGAACCGATGGTTGATTCCAATTTTCTCTAGGAATTATCACAGCGGCACTGATAATTCCTCGGCACATTAGGAATTCCTATTTCTGAGTTCTTGGACACTGCTGGTATTATGAACCATTCATTAAAGAAACGAGCATAGAAATTTTTTGATTGAATAATCGATGTTATTTTTGATAGGTTGAGTCGGTCTGATGTATCATCACGTCATAAATCAGCATTACCCATGAAATCCAATGATGCACTTACAGAATTATTTTATGCTAATCGTTCTCATCGTTTTCTACATGATCCGTCTCAGGCACGTGAAGAAATAACATTATTTGCTCGTCGAGCTGCCCAACGACTTCATGAACGTTTACCACGTATGTCAAGTGTACCGCATCGAGTTAAAGTCGTTGATGAACGTGATATGTCCGGTAATCCTGATGAAAATGCATTATTACAAATGAAACATAAACGTGCCCTATCATCAATAAACAAACGTCGCCATTTATTTATTAGAATGATGACACAATCTAAAAAGAATCAAACTAAAATGGAAAAACAGTGGACACAAAGTCCCATAGCTTTAGATAATGCGGCTTGCTGTCGAGAACTACTTGAAAGAGCAAATCAAATCGAACAAGTTTCTACAAATCAAATAAAACGACGTCCACAAACTGCATCTGTTTCACGAAGAACACGGAGTAAAAATATTTCGTCGTTAAATTGTTCTGATTTAACGGCAGTGAGTCCGAGTATAGCACCTGTTTTTTCACCATGTTTAAAACCATTTCAAGATACTCTTTCAATAGATCATATGGAAAAAACAGAAAATGTTCGTGTCATTCTACCGACACGTCCACTTACAGCACCTACTAAAGTGAATTGGAAAAATTATTGTTAATAAATTTCGTCAATATTGATTATTCTGACCAATTTATTTATTTATTTCAGTTAAAAACTGTTTTTTATTAGCAACAAAAATAACAACGATTTTAAACATCATAAATAGTAATAAATGACATGTCTCAAATAAGTTTTATAGGTTTGGTAATCATATCCAAAAAAATACATATATTTTACAATATAGATCAAATGTACATTTCTCCCATTCTAAATTCTATACAGTCCTAATTCTTTCTCAACAATCTCAAAGATATGATTTGTCAACAGAAAAAAAAACATATTAAGGTATTTTAGAAACAAATTTGTGATAGAAAAAAAAACGCACTTTATCTTTCCTATTTTAATATGATATCGGGCCAATAATAGGAGAGCTACGCCAAATTATCAACATAATATTATCTTGTACTTTCTGAGAGCCATTCTTATGATCGAATGTTATTATGAAAATATGTTTTCTCTCTCCAAGGTAAAGTCTTCCATATGTCTATGATAATCTCCAAAATAAACAGATTAACTTCATACATTCGTAAAAGATCGACTATTATTGCGAAAAATCGGATACCAGCTATAGTCATAAATATTTATATACCATCAAATCATAGGCACCCTATGCTTCCCATTTGTAAAGAAACAAAAGCTAGTAACCTAATATTTGATGAGATTACCATTTATCGTATAAATATCAAGTTTTTGTTTTCCTTGTCATACAATTAATCACAACTATATAAATTAAATATCAAGAATTTTCCTATTCATCCTTTACATCATATTAAATACAGAAGAGTTTATTTATTGTTTCATTATAATCCTTCTGACGACTACGATTAAAATAATCAAACTAGCTTTTGAAAATAAAATTGGTTAAATCCACCATTCTGGTTCTTTCCCATATTTCCATTCAATATCATTGATATTTCTTTGTCCAATGCTTTCGAACTTCTTTTCTAATACTACAAGACCTCCGCCGCCCGATTGAGTACTTTCTATTTGTTGATCAATTATATTATAAAACTCTCGCTCAATAATATGGTACGCTTTACGTTGATTCCAATCATGTATAAATACTTTTGCATTGGGCCCATTTAATTGTTTTAATAAAGCATAAGCAACTTGTGGTCGTGCACGCCCATCAAGAAAAGCAAAGTCGAATTTCGTATCACGAAAATATACTGAAAGAAAATCGATGTAATCACGGTACATTGTATAAGTACTACGTCCACCTGTTGCCCATAAACGATACGCTGCTAATGAATATGCATTTCGTGGTACACAATAAATCTCGATACGTGACGTCTGATCAGATTGCAATGGTTTTTGTTCAAAGCAACGTTTTATATAAAATCCAGATGAATTACGTCCCATATAAAATATTTTTACAGATCGATGCGATTGATTATGAGCCATACGCTCGAGTTCACGGCAATAATCGAGACTATGTTCGATACTAACATAATAATCAACAAAACTACTGAAGAAAAATGTACTACTACCAGCACCAAATTCAACCATGGATATTTTTTGTTGACTAAATAGAAATGAATTTCAATTTATTTCTCTTAAAAAAGACTTCCACAGTGATCAATGGAACAAATTTATAAAAATGATTTTTATCTCGTTCTGATTCACAATGTGTAGGTTATGAGCACATAAGAAAATAGAAGTCTCGTCGACACAATAGAAGACATCGTTAAAAGAAGCAATCTGTCGAACGGAGTACAGGACTCCTTTTCAATAATTGAGTTTGCCCGAAACTTTACTTGTTATTTTTAGTATGTGCGTCAGATGTAGTTGAAGTATTCAAAAGTTTCCAAACCAAAATAATCAACAAGATGAGAATACATATCGTTTTTTACTCAGCTCGCCAAAAAAAGTCGCATCAGAAATTCTTTTCGTTTGAATAAAACAAAAAATCTTAGATTAGGAAAATGTTTTACGTTACCTTTGCTTTCTTTTAAAATTTTGGATATATTTCACCATTAGTGCTTGTTCTCGTGGGTCTACCCATGCTTGTGTTGGCGGAAGTCGTGTAAATAGAAGATAAACTTGCCAACATATACGTTTAATAAGATTAAAAATAAGAATAAACATGAATAATAAAATATTGACTAAAGGAGATAAAAGATATAATACGAATTGAATATGTTGACTTCTAAACATTCGATTTAAATAGGTTAGTATTTAACAGCTCTTCTTTTTACTTCGTTTTAATTGTTCAATCTAGTAGACAAATGAAATCTTAAAAATCGATATAAAACGATTTATTAGACATTTGGAATTGTTGAGAGAGAAAAAGAAAACTGTATGATGACAATCATGATTGAAGTAACTGGGAAGAAAGTTTCTTTCAACAAAAAAGATGATGACGAAAAGCGTGTGAATACTTTACGTAAATTAGGAAGAAAAACCTCAATAGTATCGGCATGACTTGTGTTCGTTTCATTTTCTTTTCTTTGTGAGCAGAAGAAGAAGAAAAAAGAGCACATATATCATAAACTAGAGAACCCAATATGCAAATGTATTTTATACAGTTTATAAATGTCTAGGAAATAATCTATGCATGCCTACTAAAAATAGTATGAAGGCAATATAGAGAACTGAGACTATAATACGAAATATTCTAATTAAACGACAGAGGAATGAATAGCTACAGGACCTTTTTTCTTTTCACATTTTTATGCCTCCTCTGGTAGTTTATAACCTTCACTACGGCGAGAATAACTTACGAATGGTTGATATGTCTTCGATTATTTTCATATCAAATTCTTCCCGATAAATTTTGCCTTCAAGTACTTATATTCATTAATACAGAATAAATATATGTTTTCGTACAAATTGTTAGCCAATGCCATTACAATCTTTTCAGTATATAACGTGATGACAGCTGTGGCTTAAATATAAAGGACAGGAGAAAACATAAATCAGTCATTTTTTTGCAGTTGTATTTACTCACGTCGCCTCTCTGGGAAAGACTATTATCATTTTTTACTATTTTCAGATTTATCATGTACAAATACTTATAAACTTTATGAACGATTATTCGTTTGAACGCCCTGAAAACAAAATCGGTTTTATTTATCTTGGTCAACTTGAAGAATGAGCAATGCTATAAATTATGAATGAGAAAACAAAACTTTAGAATTTTTAATCACGATTCCAATTACTTTCGGTGGTTCAATTGAAACAATTATGAGATATTTTTTCAACTATGTCTTTCCTTTCTCCATGAAAATAGAAACAATGAATTTTCTAAAGTTCGCTGGAAAAATAAACAAATGGTTTGTCATCCAGAGATGGGCAAGTCAGCGTTTTTGCGACTCAAGTCAAGTCAAGTCTTAGCTAAGCCAAAAACAGTTCCAAGTCAAGTCAAGTCAAGTCAAGTCATAATTCATTCAAAAACATCGTCAAGTCATTTTTTGACTTGACTTGCCCATTTCTGTTGTCATCATTTCCAGCGTAGAGTAAAAAACATTTTTAGTTATTCATGATGATGATAAATTATTGATCAACGTTATCAGTGTACTCCATTTCTGATGAAGTATATATTTTCTATACTGTTAAAGTGCAAATAGCAAGTCATATAAATGGCAAACCCGACACAAAGAAATAGACCATACATATCGATAGAACGAAGGAAAAAAATAGAGGAGAATGAAAAAACGACGGCTGTACTGCATAAATAAAAATAAGAGGAACGGTAGTAGTTTTTACTTTCTTGCATGCGTTAACATGACTGACAGCGAATACGTGTATGAAATTATCGACAATGAAGCAGACGCGCGTTATTGTGCAAAACTTTTTGCTGAAGAATTTTCAGCACATAATCCTCTCACAGTTTTCGAGCGAGCAACACCGACCTGTCTTTTTGATGAATGTTCATGGCCATTAACAGAATTATTATTTCCTGAACGTCTGTCATTTCTTGTACGTCATCGATCAACAATGGAAATTATTGGAGCTTTGCTAGCCTGCGATTTATATTTGCAACATGAAACAGAATCAGTATGTGATACTTCAAATAGAGTACATAATGTACCTCTCGATGATTTACTCGAAGAAATGTGTAATTTATTTGTAACACGCGATTTTGGACAAGAATTAAAACTCAATTTGGTTTTATATATAGAAATGTGTGCTGTTCGTGCTGAATATGCTGGTAAAGGTATCGCTAACCAATTACGCAAGACAGCATGTGATTATGCACGTGATCAAAGAGGATTTCAATATGGATTAGTTCAAGTGACAAATGATGCAACGCGGCATATTTTTCTAAATAAAATGAATGGAAAAGAAGTAACAATTATTGATCCAACAACATGGGTTTGGAAATATGAAAATAATGAACCTATACGCCCGTACAAAGATTATAAAGGTGGTTCAATACCAAATATCCTTGTTAAATTATAGCTAGATATTAATAAATATCAATGAATTTACAAAGAAAATAATTGGTCGAAGTAATCTTTTTTTCTGAAAGAATTTGAGGGATAAAAAATACTGCTAATGTTCATTGAGTAGAGAAAATTACTGAGAGGAATAGATCTCTAATGCTGAAGAAAATAAACATGCACCGATGAAAACTTATATCTTTTTTTACCAGGAGTCTTTTTTTGTTTGATGAGCTAAAAATAAAATTAGTCATTTAATATTTGCATAGATTTTATCGTTATCTTTATTTGTCTACTATCGTAAATACTTATTTCGTTTGCACATGCACTCATATTTCATGAAGAACAGTTAAAACTATTTAGTTTTTTTCTCTAAATTATCTAAAAATTAACAGCCTCTGTAGAATATTTTATGTGATTGAGTAAAAGGTAGTCCTTGAATATTCCTGCGATTTAGAATGAAAATTTTTCAAAAGATTTCTTTTAATCAACAAGTAAAGAACTATTCATTTTTGAAGCAGAAATGAAAATATTTGCATTGAGGCGTTCGTTTTTTTATAAAAATTTCTTTACCAGCCTTGTTATACATCATGCTTTCGTTGATCGAAATGTTTCGTAATGTTAAAATTCTGTATTGTATTTCTTTCACTGAAGCAGCATCTATTTCAGTGAAATTCTGAAACTCTTGAGAAAAAATTGTCGCTGAAACGGACAGATACAAATCACGGTATTCACTATTGAAGATAATTTTTGCAGTCAGGATACGAGACTCATGTTAATAAGATCATATGTCACAGCCTGAATTGAGGACGGAGTCAAATAGCAGATAAGTATATAATAGTGAACTCTATTATAATGGCTGGTTAGCTTACAAAAGTAAAAAGCTAGTTCAAGGATATATTTTTCACTATATTCTTTAAACGCAAGGAATATACATCTCGCATGAAAGAATTGCCTTTAGGCTAGTCAATATAAGTTTTCAGTTTGTAAGAACAAATTGGTAGCTTAGATACTTCAGGACTTACATCTGCGAAGGTTAGAATGAAAAAGAAAACGATAATTTGGATGATTAAATTACAATTTCACGAGGTAATAAATGAACTTGTTTCGAACTAATAGTCAACAATTCAATGTTAAAGTTGTTACGAAACTTTTTCTTGCACAAGAACTCAGTTTGCAGAGTACATACATAGATCAGAACAGTTTTCGAATATAAAATGTTTTAAACATTGATTCTCTTCCTGATTTCCATCGGAAACAAAACGAGAATACAGTTTAGAAAACCTTAGTAGATCTTGTCGCTCGTCAATTTTTCTTCAATTTAAATAAATGATAAATGTTCATTGCATGCATATGTTTTCCATCAGTTGATCTTTTTTCAATTAAGAAATTTAAAAAGGCTACCATTTAAGTGATCAATAAAATAGATGAAATGGTCAGTTTATTAGTGTAAGTAGCAGTAAAAAGTTTCAATTTATATCAGTAAAAAAATACGCTTTACCAGTAGAAATCAAGTTTAAATAAATCTTCTATTTAATTTTTAGCAACTTCATCAACGCCTCGAAGTGCGTCATCATGATGCTCGTATTCAGCTTCCGTTTCATGCACGATTACTCTATCACGGTCTGCATGATACAATAGATAAATAATTTAAGTCCTACTAAAACCGCCTTGCTAATGTACATCAGTTTCTTGAGCTTCTGGAGCAAGAAATTTATGCGCTATGGGCAAATCTTGAAGTCTGCACAAGTCGAGAATACGAAAAAAATTGCCTCAGGAAGACATTGTTGATCGCGACGCTTAACTTTTTTGCATCTCTAATATACTTTTATCCCATCTTCTGTATAGTGTGTGTAATGTTGTGAAAATTGATTTTCAATTGATGCTTCTGCTTCATCAGCATTATCAAATGCATCTTTTAATCGAACGACTCAAATCATTTATTTTACTGGCCATAAATTATATCCCCGTTTCAAAAGAACATCTTTTTGATAGGAAGAAAACAATTATCACTTAGTAAATCGTTTAATATGTTGAATGTTTCGTTCGACTGCAAAAACTGAAGGATGACTAGGAGGCAACTGCTTAAGAAAGATATCACGAGCTTTGTTTGAATACATGAGTGCTTCTGAGAACATCTTTTCACTGATGTAAACACATCCCATACCATAATATGTATATGCAAAGTTGATATCTTGTGAAGCGCAAGATTTTTCATAAGTTTGAAGAGCTTTTTTGAAGTGCTCCAATGAAACTTCAGAATGTCCGAGCAAGTACTGAAGCATTCCAATGTTCTGATGCGATTGACCCAAACTGTAATGATCTGAAGGAAGATGTTTCTCTTGAATGGACAATGCTTTATGAAAATACTCAAGTGCTTCGATATTTTTCCCAATTTTCTCATGAATACTACCCATATTCAAGTAACATCCAGCTATTTTGAGATCGTCTTCACCGAGAGTTCGCTTGTAAATAGCCAAAGCATTGTTGCATGTTTCAAGCGCTTGTTTGTAATCACCTTTTTCGTAATAACTACCGGACATATTACAGAGTACATCAGCAACATGTGGATCATCTGATCCAAGTTTTTCTCTTTTTATTGCGAGTGCTTTTTGTTCTAATTCGAGAGATTTATCATGGTTTCCTTTTTTTGCAGCTAATATAGCAAGATTTTGATAACAGGCACCTAGTTTCTTATCATCAGGACATAATTCACTACGAATCAGATTAAAATATTTTTCAGCTTCACTGTATTTTCCCATCAACGATAGTACGTGACCATATGTACCAGCATTACTCCTTGCATTGTCATCACCATAGACGTCGTATTTTATTTTATCAATTATAGGCTTTAAATCATGATCATTTTCGCTGCACAATCTCATTTGTATGACCCATCCTAGGTCGTGGCGACGGATGCTGACGAGTCGAAAGATCGACCCCAACGTCATAAGTACTTCTTCTTCATTTTGAATAGCGCTAAATGAAGTTATGTCGGCAAAAGCTTTAATACTTTCGAGTCGAGGATCAGCATGTATTTCAAATATAACTTTTTGACAATCATTATTTGATGGGCCTGCGGCGCTCAAAAGAAAAAATGCTATGTCACGATCACGACTCGTTGAAAAGAATGAATTCACGGATATGAGTTGTCCGACAGAATTTCTCAATGCGTCAAGTTCCTCTTTTGACATCAACTGATATCGGTAAAGTGTAATTGGTGATATCAATTTATATTCTTCAAGTTGCCGGCCAACATCACGAATGAAAAATCGAATAAGATAGAGTACGTCAACGTTCTGTACACGAAGTGCTTTGTTTAATATTTGGAAAAGAAAACATGGCCTCGTATACCAATGAAGGGCTTGATTAGGTGTATAATCGCGTTCGAATTCTCGAACAATCGTCAAATTAGACTCATTGTGTGCGTAGGCTTTCTTGAGGAAAGAAACGAAGTCGGCTTTATCATTTGGAGTCGACCTCATTCGCATTAAGCAATTTATTAACAATTGCGAATGCACAAACTGTCCGTTGAGTTCAGTCGATGATTTTCCTTGGTTAGCTCTTGTGTCAAAAATGTCTAATGCTAGTGGCTGGTCAAGAATACGCTGAATTCTTGATTTATCTTGGATGGACAGAACTAGAACTACGACTTCATCTAACTCTTCGGTGACACCATCAATCTGAAATAAAATAGAATAATTCCGTTAAATGTATCCTATAGTTAAGAATTGCTTATAGCAATTGAAAAATTAATAATTAGTTGAACTGCAATGAGACTATAATTGAAGACTAGAGAGAAGTGGAATTTCTCTGATCCATTGAATTGATACTAAGACGATGATTTGGTTTAATCAGCTAATTTTTAGGAAAGAATAAGATTTGATTAATTAGAATGGAAAATGAATATGTTATTTGAAAAAAAAAGAAACGTGCGAATACCTGTGTGGTTGGTTCACTCATTATTTTTCATCTGAATCTCTCATATCTGTAACATTTTGTTTCTGTGTTTGAAAGAGAAAAGGATTCAATTCCTTCAACTAGCTTATCCGAAGAAGGTTCGTATTTTTTCACTAGAAATTGTTATTGATGTTCTCTCAATCGATCTGTTACAAGCTCTTTCGTATTTATATGTAAACATAAGATATAGTTTGCTTACTTTTGAGAAATGCTTGACCCATTCTTCATTTTTCTTATTCATACAGAATATATAGATTGACCAGATTTGCCGCAGCTGATGAACACGGGGCACCAATATTCTACCTAAGCTACTTCCTACTACCAAAACAATTCGATCACCTTCATGCATAGATTTAAGATACTTCTCACAGTCGTCAACTTTAGTGAACGTCTTCAAATAATGAATAGATTTACCAATTCGACGTTGAGCATTGATAAATTTCGTATCGTTAATAGCAGCATCAAGCCAGACGACCGAGAATGTCTCAAGATTTCCGTCGTTTGGCTCTGGTAATGGATGAGATGTTGCCATTACTGTTCAAGGAGTGAATGATTAGTACTCAACGAGAAATGTACGTTTGATCTTAAGTAGACTACTACGATTTAATCATCCATTTCATTTCAAGAATGGGAGAATAGGTTGGAAGAATGTATAATTTGTTTTTATATTTGCGAATCTTAACTCAAAAATGTTCCGTTCTGTCGAGTTTACATAGCCTCCTAAAATTCTTTCAATCAAAGTTCCGCGGCGACGGCAGTGTCGTCACGGCACTGTAAGTGTATTTAAAAATACACTCAAAAAAAAGACGACCACTGAGAGAAAATTTTTAAGAAAGTTGAAAAACAACAGACGAACGTCAGATTTAAATAGTTATTTATATCGACCATCCCATCGACCGAACTAGTTCTGGTTTAGATATCGGACCGACAGATCTAAAGTGATTAAAACCGGTGTAACCTTCTACCCAACGATCTTTATGACTGAAATTTATAAGCAGTTCTTTTCGTTCATAATTACAGTTGCACAACAAACGTATCACGAAACTTTGTTGCAACTTTTTAGTACTGCAAACATTAAAAGGGCGATAGAAGCATTCACGGTGGTTTAATTAAAATAGTTAGCAGTTAATCATAATTCTATGAAGAACAGTTTATTAGTTTTCAAATTCAGTCAAATATACTTAATAGAAACCGATGCAAGGAGTATCATCTTTCAAACAGTAAAAGCTGTTATGCTCTCTCTTTAAAAAGAGGTTCTCGAAAAATAACATCCTATAACAATGGCATAGCTGTGGCATTGATATAGACAAGCTTTCGTGTCACTTGAAATCAAAGACATGTATTCATAATATTTTTATATTTCAGAACACTGAATTTTGATACACTAATAAAATCAACTTATTTCAATGAAAAACAACAAAGCAAAAAAATCTCTCGAGTCTATAGGGAACGATAAAAGTGTAAATGCAAATAAAAAATGATTTTTAATTACAAATCAACAATATTTTGAAAGAAAAACTCAGCCATCAATAAACTTATGCCAAAAATATAACTACTTATTAGTAGATCTTTCTTCGCTCGATTACAAAGATCAGTTTGACAACACCATTGGCCATTATCAACGGTACCATAATGTGCGCATGATTGTATCAAACTTCGAGAAGTATTATAATGCACTGTTTTTTTTTCTAATTGAAATGCATATAGTTCAATCTGAATGCCATATAATTACAACAAAATCGACTTACTGAGCAAAACCATGATGGAGTAGAAACTGAAGGCGTTATTAGAACGTTGGTTGAATTGAATGGATCATTGCAGTTTACACAGGCATAACAATGAAGACCCTCAGTCATTTGACTCGTAGCTAAAAGTGTATGAATGCATAATAACTTACCAACTATTTGTTAATTTGCTGACTTACTAAGAAAAGGAAAAGAAGCAATAGCAATAGACGAAAGTAAGAACATAGTTGAAAGCAGATATGATTCGAATTGAGACCAAGTATATTATAACCAATAGAAAAAAAATGTGGAAACTTCGGATTTCATCCGAGAGTTATGTGTACTGCAAAAAGTGCATGGGACATATGAGTCATTCTAGAATGTTTGAACACCAAAATTATCATGAGAAACTAGGCAATTTGATTTCTGGATGCAGTTTGTGCATTTTGAGACTTTTTCAGGCAATGTTTCGTTAGAAAACTATGATTTAGTTCAAAACTAATACCAGATTCGGGATCAGCGTTAAAAACTGAATCGATTTATATATTTTGTGGATAATTCTGAGAAAAATATTTCGTTTGAAAAAATCTCTGTATTCCCTCCGCCTCAGGGATGGTCTGGTCAAAATGAGAATTTTTTTGACAAACTCAGCCATTTCTTGACGGATCCTTCTCATTTTCGAACTCGGCCGAGATATTGATGAGACAATTCTGTGCACAAAATTTCAGCTCAATCGAATGTAATTGCGAAGAGTTATCGAATAAACTGTCGGACGGCCGGACACACTGACCGATTCTATAGTGTACTCTTTTTTTTGAGTACACAAAAAAAGATATTTTATAATGATCACGATTGATTTTAATTGCTATACGTATAGAAAGTATTTACACAAGCAATAAATTTGTCTTTTCCGTTATGTTATGTACGGTATTTCCCTATTTATTATGTGACAATCGATCTTTTTCTTTCAAATATTCAATCAAAGATTTTATGCCAAAAAAAGAAACAAGACAAGATTCTAATTAGAAATAGTTAAATAGCAATCAAAATCATTTGTAACTTCTTTTCATTATTCCGCTGGTGTATCATATTCATTGACATGTGTGTTCAGTGGTATCGAAAAACAAATACAAATCACATATATAAATGTGATATTTTACACTATAATAAAGCAAAGTGTAATCAGCGTAACTTACGATTTATAGATTCACTTTATATTTTCGAAGCGACATGAATGATTTTATCGGCAGAATTTAACATATAACGTACGATTGTATGAGAAACGGTCGTTTTCTGCTTTTGCAAAGCAGAGCCAGTACAGAGGGTTCAATAAATATGTTATTTCAACACTGATTTAATGGTCAAAATTAGACAATTGTTAGAATAAGAAAAAACAGTCAACATATTTTACTACGAATTTCCCTCCCGCAACGAATAGAAGTCTTTTCTATTTCCTTCTCGGTTTGATATCTTTTCGAAACCGATGAAATTAAATAACAATAAAAACAAATAAGTGAAAATGAAAGTCTCAAATAATGGATTCATTGCATACATATGGCTCACTGTCGTTTATTATTTTTGAGAAATTCATAAGAACAACACTGAATTATTCTTGTATGAACCTAAAGCAAACATTACTTTAAATGAAAATCAGATCATTTCATTTTCCAAGAAACTTGAACGACACCAATACTGAGGCTTCCAGCAATAGCTTTAAATGCTGCAGGTGATAAGTCTAAACCATCGTGAGGACAACCTGCACATCGATCTACTAATTGAACGACAATCGAACCACGTGGTCCATTTACTTCAATTTTTCGATTGCATAATGAATTTCGATTTGGATTGCCGTTCGGCGTATGCATATCAAATTGAGGAGCATTCAACGCAGCAATATATTCGTTATCACTATGCCGTGTACCACATGCTGTATAATCACCTTCGACATGATAATAGGTACATCGTCCATGAAACGAACCAGAAAGTATTGGCATTTGTCTATTTGATTCTGATCCACTCAGCCAACACTTTCCCTGTTGACATCCAGCGCCACAATATTCAGCAGTTGTACCACAATAACCCCATTGTGAACAGCACATATTAGACGGACAATGACAACCGGTTCCATACCCAATTAAATTACTTAATATCGATAGCAAACAAACTATCGATGACAGTATGCTGAATCGATGCATTGTAGAACTAGTCCGTTGATGATTATCTCGATGCTCAGCAATCGTATTTCTACTACTTATACTCTTATGAAATAGTGAATATTTTTCTAGTGACAGCTAAGAACAGAGCTCCTAGTGGGAGAAGAAAATTCTCTCATGGGATAAATCAGTTTTTCCCATGGGATAAACCAGTTTTTCCCATCCGATTCGCTGCTCTGATTAAGAAGATAATATGACATTTTGTTTTTGTATTTTGGATATTAATGGTTTGTCAATGAGTATAAGTGTTATATCAACTTATATTTCAGTATTTTTTTCCTTTAAAATGTTTTCCCTATCGAAGGGTATTTTTTACTATGAGATTTGACTTATTAAATAACACAGTTATTTGATCGTATCCTTCAAATTAAATCTTATTTCTTTGAGCGTAGAAAGATACAATTCAAAATAGATTTAAAAACCATCGACTGTTGAGACTTCAAACATATCATTTGATGAGTGTGAATGTTTTCTTTCAGTTAAAAGATGATGTGTGAATAACAATTGATTTTTACAATAATAAAAAAACAACCTTTTCATACATATATCGATATCCAGAAACTATCAGTCATAGAGAAACTTAACATTCACTGCCACTGAAAAATGATCATGCTTTAATAATTGTTTTTTTTTCTACAAAGAAAAATTTCATCCTCCTGCAATCTCGTGCTTTCTTCACACATGCGGATGAAAATATTTTACTCTTTGGGGTAACCATCGATTAACACAGTTTATTTTCTTGTACAAACGTAGCATTTGTACAAACCAATGATATTTATTATTGCTGAAGTTTTTTCTTTAAATGTTCTGCATAAAAAAATATAAGGCACTCCTTTGTCTATGAATGAAGTATTGATTTTTCATTCATAATCATATTGTACAATATATTCTGGATATGATTGATAACTATTAAAAATACAGAACATATCGTTTTGACTACCACTATCATGAAATACTGAGTGACATCCTGGTGCCGGTGATTTAAGACCTCCTGCACCTTGGCTGGAATTTCCCAATAAAACTTGACAGATGAATAATTCTCTACGATGATTGGTTCGTTTTAGTACATATGGATCATCATTAGAATATTGTGAATTGACTGCAAAATAAACTCCATCGCCAATAAGACCACCCGGACAAAAACTATGAAAAAAACCATGATACATTATTAGTTTTTGCTGTTCTGGCGATGCTGTGCCATGAAAAAGACGTAGAATATTGTTCGGAATTGTTTTTTGTAATTCTTGAAAAATAGACCAAAGTCGAAGATTTTGTATTCGAATTATTGAATAGATAGCAACAGATGATTTTCCAAGAGATTTTGAAAAAACACTTGATAAATCTTGAAATTCTTGTGATGATTGAGATAATGTTATAAATTCAACGGGATTTTCACTTAATGACATTCTTGTCCAATTCGAAGGATATGTTAATGGAGGATGAATGGTGACGAAATTTCGCATCGCCAATTCATGAGAAAGAATATCCCAGACAGAATTTGCAACGGGAGATTTCTTTTGTGAATGCAATCCAGTCAAGCGCGCAAGAAGTTTTTGCAATTCATTATCATTTCTTTTCACAGCATAATTATATGGATCGGCTGCTAATTGTGTTATTTCATAGTTAATACCATCGGCTATTTTATCATATAAACTATTTGAAATTGTCGATTGACCATTTTTCCATAAGATATTTAATTCATCTTGTAATTGATAAAGATCATCTAACTGTAGATCACTAAGATATTTTATGCCAATATTAGCCAACTTCGTCGTGGTCATTTAAGTGTTGTTTGAAAGAAAGGACGCGTTATGTTTTTTTTCATGTTTATGATAGACGAACAAGAGAAAAAAGGTAAACTTGCTGGAGAAAAAAAAAGAAGTGTGATGTCATTGCTGTTATTACAGTACGATTGTGAAATTCGAGAAAATAATAGTTTTTATTGGACCGTGTCTTATAATATAATGAAATAAGAACTTTTTGATTACATTATATTTATTGATTTCTGTTTAAAAGAATACAAATGTCATAGTAAGTTTCATGGATTTATTCCACATGCGACTCAAGAAAATATGAAATGATTACCAATGGAAAAAAAAGATTTGTTGCGCCCATTGATAACAGCATAGTTATTTTAGACGTAAGGACGTCGCAATCATTCTTTTGATTTCGAACTTTGTTAGATGATGCTTTTCACGAGCTTTGATTTAGAAATTCATTTTAAGTTTTGAATTTTTAGTCATTTGCATGTCACAATTTTTTATATAGTTATTTGTGCTGGAATTCTTTGTGCGAAACATTACTCCGTCGAATAAATTACTATCGCATATTGTCGAAGTCAAATGTATTGAATACATATAAGGCAATTGAGTTATGTTCTTCGCTTTTTTAATCGATAGAAATTAGTCTAATCATGATGAACTATAGAAAGCACGTTTGCAATAACCATCTAGTGGAACAATCTTAAAAAACTAAATTTTAACATAGGAAGTATGAGAACGTGAAGTATTTTCAGTTCAATAAAACTCCTCGTTCTAAGTTAGGATGACGATGAGAGTTCTTACAAATTGCATTAGATAATAGAATATCATTTGAGAAATGTATTTCTGATGATTATCTTTCTACTCTATTTTGTAATACATGTCAGTATCGTTGCAACAAGTAAAAGTGCAATGGAATAGAGTACGAAATTCGGCAATTTATTCAGTATTGTATTCCATTATCTTCAAAAGCGAAACGTAACATCGTTGTAGGACCAATCACATCGATATTAACGTTTCCACCAGATGAAAAATCAAAATGTAATCGTTGAAAATCTGATCTTTTCTTGGTGAACCTGAAGTTGAAAAATATTCCTTCGAAAAATAAATACGTTAGTGTGCACATATCAATGTAGAAATAATGTGTATCGATTCGATGAACCTTCTCATTCAGCGACTAGAGAAGATTTTTAGGGCGGCCCAAGCTCTGCATATGAAAATATAGTGTGTTCATTTCCTAGTAATTTTAACTGTGGTGATAGTAATTGTATCTATGTGCCTACAACAAGGAGTGAAGATCGTTATCATCATAGTCCAGATCTGGCATTTAACTGTTGTCAATAGTTCATCTAATTTTCTCGTTGCTTTGAAACCGGACTTGATGTGTTACATATTTTCTCTATTAAGAATTTCGACATGTATTGTAAAGATGCATGTGGACGCATACAAAACAACTCTTGAATAGTGTCCTTCACATTTTTGTGGACCTAATTTCGTGTGTGCAGTTTGGATATGTAAGATTACACTAGTTTCTAAATCGAATAAAGATCGAAAACCGTTTCTGTATAATGCTATATTTCAGTTGCTTTGATACCAATACATAAATATTTATTCTTTCAACGTTCAAAATCGACAACTGCACGCGTTCACATAATCATAAACTCATGTTAACTGAATAAGTATCGTTTTTATTGTATTCATCCGAAAGCAAATATCTATTATAGTAAATGATCTCGACTATCATTGTGAACGATGGGGTGTGTCAATCAATATACATTGTCATAGGGTACAGTTGTGTTTGAACAATATTGTTGAAATCAATTTCTCATCAAGATTATTATCCATGTGTCTTTCCAAAAAACTTAAATCATATGATGCTTACATGTAGAATACACTGAAGATTATAGGTTGATGATATCGATACTTCAATTACTCTAAATATATCTACAAAAAAACTCGCGGCATCGAATATAATTCAAGGGACATTGAAAATAAAACGAATGTCATTATCGAATCGTGTCTGTGTTGAAATCGAAAACAACTTTCACCTGAATAATTTGCAAAAATCATTTTATTCTTTGTAACGTATACAAGCTTGATCGTCGAAACACAATGTGATTGCATTTTCTCATAAATTGCATATTGATGTGAAATGTAATATGAACTTGAATATAACAATTAAAATTCATTTCGAGCTTGGAAAAAAGGACTCCTCCTCTTGGATTTGAGAAAATGAATATTAAACGTGGTTGATGATGAAAAAGAAACAATCAATTCACATTATAACAAGAAATCTATGATATAGTTATTTATTTAAAAACAACGTTTTTCGTTCAGTAGTTCAGACGTTTTGATATAAGATCGATGAAAAAATAGTGTTCGTAATAGATTAATATCTTCGAAAATTATCATTATTATTATTTCCAGATTCATCTAGAAGATCCATTTGTGGATCAACTGCGCCAAGTAATGCTTTTGCAACGTAATCGCCAAATGAAAAAGGATAATTGTGTCCTCGATTGCGACGTATTTCTTCTCGTTCAGTTTTATAATCATCCACAACATCGACATTCATCATTGAACGATCCCATTGCGATAAATAAGCTACACTTGATTCATCATCTGTACAAGCAAGGAATGTAACATAGGTTGTATTTGCTTGACGTTCGTTTCGCATTAGATTTTCTAAACTTTGTACATCGACATTTCCATTTGCATCTGTTGGAGCTCCATCTGTAGCAACGAATACAAGTAAACGTTTATCACTGCCCGGTTTACTTGCTGCTGATTGAAAAATTTGTCGTAAAGCTGGTGTTAATGGTGTTAGTCCGCCTGGTCGTTGATTAAATGATTCAACAACTTGTCGAGGATCAGTTACATTTTTCATGGGAGGACGATTCAGAAAATATACATCAATTCCATTGGAATCAAATACGCAACCAATTTCCATAACTATTTGTACAATGGATCGTAATTCATCCCAGCGACTACCCTGTGTTCCGTCGACTGGTGTATTCATTGAGCCAGAGTCATCACAAAGAACAACAATTTCATATTGATTGAGAATGTTAAGGCGTTGTGCAAGAGTGTCATTGATTTCATATCGACCAGCTATTGCTCGAATACGATCATTGGCTGAATAGTTTATTCAAATTCAATATATTCTTTTTTCTTATAGAAAATAACTTACCAGCTGGTGATCCATATGAATTCTGATTGTATCCGCCACCTGTAAAACAGAACAGAACAAAATATATTGATTTTATATGAAAAATAACAGCACTAGCCTGGTTGTTGATAAGGAGAAGGATTTTGATAGGATTGTTGTGGTGGTGGTGGCTGTTGATTATACGAAGAATAGCCACCATAACCGCCTGTTAGAAAACAAATTTAGAGGTCGATTATAGCATTAATTTTTTTTTTATCACGAGAGCTTTGTTAGACAAGCATGTTTTTGAATCATTCTCACGAAGTTTTTATTAGCTAGAGAGCGCCGTTTATTACCTGGAGGTTGTTGAGGATTTGCACCATAGGGAGTTTGATACGATTGCGGTGGAGCATTAGAACCGTACGGATTTGGATATTGTTGTTGTGGAGCATTTGAGGGGTATGGGTTTTGACCATATGGATTTTGACCGTAGGGATTTTGATTGGGTGGTTGCTGAGGAGTTGGACCACGAGGATTTTGATATGGTGGTTGTGATGGATATCCACCTATGAATTAAAGAGATTAACTCAATAAAGAAAATTTTAAATGATATTTACCTTGTTGTGGTGGATAGCCGCCTGATGGTTGGTATGGATTTTGAAAGCCGGTGTTACCTGCAATATAAATAATGTTATTCTCCGTTATTTAGATGTCTTTTGTGAATTGGCTATTTATTTTAATTTTATTTACGATTGATGCCCTTTCTATCAAAGCATGTTTTATATAAATCGATTAGGAAATTCTTTCTCTGATTTCGTTACTGTTTAGATAGATTTTTTTTGTTGCAAATAAAGACGTTATCGATGTATTATCTGAAAAAAATATAAAGTGATTACCTTGTTGTGGAGCATACGAATTGCCTGCTGGATAAGGATTTGGTGGACGATATGAAGATTGATTACCTAAATAAATCATATTTAGAATTTTACTTTTCTTACAATAACACATATCAATGACTAAGATATTATTTAAAATTCAACTAACCTGTTGGATGTGGTGGTTGTTGACCACTTGAATATCCAGCAGACGGATTTGGAGCTTGATAACCACCTGGTTGTTGTGGATAAGGACTTTGTTGATAACCAGCACCACCTAAAAAAGTTAATGGATATAAAAAGATTTTTCGATTTCAAACAATGGTTTACCTTGAGGTGGGGGAGGTTGTTGTCCAATGTTTGGAAGAGAATAGCTTGAATAACTGTTTGGATTTGCTGGTTGATTACTTGATGGATATGGATTGTTATAAGGTGATGATGACGGAGGAGCTGTTGGATAAGGAGGTTGAGATGATGGACCTGTCGGGTAAGGAGGTTGTGATGAGCTTCCTCCAGTAGGATAAGGTGTGTTTTGATTGTTCGGTTGAGCCATTACACTAGAAAATCCAAAGGGTTTCGATGAACTTGTATTAGATAGTGTAGAACTTGTCGATGCTGGAGTTGCTGATGTTGACGTTGGTGGTGGCGGTGCTGATGGTTGTGGAGTGCCTGAACCAATATTTGGATACATTTTTTCTTTTTTTGTTCGTGTCGATTGCTTTTGCGTTCTCCGTCGAGTAATTCAGCGCGTTTGTCCTAGTTGATAGAATGCATTTTTCTTTCCTTTCTAGAATAAATATACTTCATGCCGTCAGATAATGACGTTGAGATGAAAGAACGAAACAAATGAAGGAAGAAAGAAAAGGAAGATGAAACGAGAAAATAACCCAGTCCATCCAACGATCATCGACAAAAACGAACTCAGTAGAGAATAAATATCAAGCACGTGTTTTGTATGACACGCACGCATTTAGGAAGATAAGGAAAAAAAGACTTTTTTAATATGATATTCTCGTTGCAAAACATTTGAGAATAAAAAAAAGAACTTCTTATTCATGATGAATCAAGCATTTTCAGCAGCTTTCTTCCAATGTAAATGATTCATGTGGCATTGCGCACATCACAAACTCTGATGATGCCAATGCAGCATCATTTCATACGTAATAAGCGATAATAATCATCAAAGATTAAATAAAACTTTCGATTCATGCTATTGCGTCATTCGCAGTGACGTAAAGAAGAAGAAAAACTGATTTGATGCGTAAAATGATTCAAAAAGAGTATGCGTATGAGTTATAAAAATATTAAATTAAAAATAATAAAGGACAACGAGAAACATTATTAAAAGAAAGGTATTCAATAAATATTTTTACAACTACGCACGTTGTGTTGCCAATGCCGACAAAAATCTCGTCTGCCGAACTGCTGAGATAAAACTCATTTGAAGATGTTGAAATTCGCGCATATGAAAGATTTTAATAATTTCAGCAAAATTTATTATCGAATAGAATTCTTTTTTGCTTACAAGAAACTAGGTTCTATTTAGATTATCTAATGTTTGAAGACAAGCACAAAAAATTGTATTATTTTTTCGCTGTTGTAAACGTAGCATTAATTAGTGATACGCGCTGTTATTAAGCAACGACAGTCTTGAAATACTTCTCAGAAGACTGCATTTTGTGAAAAAATTAATGTTTGGCAAAAAAAAACTTATTCTACATCCTGGAATGCATTCACATTCATAGTTGTATATAGTTTATTGAAATAAGCCAAGAGGAAAACTCATAGTGCCTATGGAAAAGAAGACACCGAAAAAATTCAACTCAAGAAAGTAAATCTTAAAGTGCTTGAAATAAACGACTCTTATTTGATCGTACCAGCAGAATTGTAACAAGAATATCGTTTTTGTTCGTCTTCAAAGCAAAACAAATAATTAGAATGAATTCTATGAGAAAAAACAATAGAAATTCAGTTCGAAGTCTTTCCTGGGTTTTTGCCATTCTCAAATCCGAATTTGATTCGCGCCGAAATACAGATATTTATGTTCTATTTTGTTCCAACAAGATTTTATTATGAATAGACAAAAACAAATAACAAATTAATCGTCATCTTCATCATCATCATCATCATCATTATCTTTAACACTAGCCATCAAATCATCTTGGAAGACGCTCCATCTGACTGGCCCTGGTTTAGTTGTTGATTCAACCTGAAGTGAAAGTATTTTAATTGAATAATTGAATTTTCCTTTTTATTTTACTTACCATGGGTTGATTTTTCTTCATAATTTTGCATGAGACTTCATCCGAATCGATTGTTTTAAGCATGTCGAGAAATTCACCTTTATTTATTGTACTTTCTTGTTTCTTTTTTGTTGCTGACGATGAAGTTTGTTGTTGTTTTCGAACTGTATTAAACAATTGAACAATACCACGTGTAGCAACTCGTTGTAATGCTCGTTCATATTCACGACCACGTGTTATGTCAAATGGTTCATAGTTCATTGCATCCCATTCACGTCTCTAAAAGTCAACGTATACAAGAATTCGTTCAAAAAAGAAGTTATCATATCGAATATTTACTCGTCGTTTTTTCGTGCGTTCACTAAATGTTGGCGTTGGCTCAGTTTCTGTCGGTTTATCAACTTCTTTCTTTGTGCTATTTGGAACGACTCGTTCAATTATTTGTCCACTTTCACCAACGATTTCAAAGACATTTTTTGGCAAAAGTTTTTTCGATTGCTTCTTTTTCTTTTTCATTTTTCTAGAACTATCCTGTAGAGTCATCTGAAACAGAACATTCCATACAGTAAAACCGTATTTATATTTTATTAAATGAAAAAAGAAAATCTCGTATAAAGATTAATTAATTTTTCTTTGAAAATTTTAATGAAGCAGAATTAACACAATGACGTTCTTCGATTATTTTGCCATTAGCATCGCGTATACCTTCGCCTGTGAAAACATGACCTAAACAAAAAATAAAATAAATGATTTTAGTCGTAATTCTTTTACATTTTCCAAGAATTCAAACAGTACAGCTTCAAAAATTTATACAGACACTATGAAAATTATTCGTTGATGTTTCAAGAGTAGTGCATTAGGACAACAATACAAACCTAAATGGCCATCGCAAGCATGACATAATATTTCAATACGATAACCATCTTCATCTTTGTGACGTTTAACTGATCCGGCTAGTGATGAACTAAATGCTGGCCAACCACAGTGAGAATCGAATTTTGACGATGAACTAAACGAAAACAAAATTTCTAAATTTAAACAGAATCAATATTCTTTACAGAAGCTTTTACTCGTGCCGTAGGTGAAAGAAAATTCATTATATAAACAGCCACTTACTCATAAAGCTTTTGTCCACAACCAGCACATTCATAAGTTCCAGGTTCGAAATGCTTATCATATTTACCTGTACCTGGATATTCAGTATCTTTTCTACGTAATATACGATATTCTTCATCAGTTAATTTTTTCTTCCACTCATCGTCAGATAAATTAACAGATGGTACGTTTTGTTCTTCTGGTTTATTACCAGCGGAAGCAGACATATTTTATCTAAAAATAGCAAGTATCATAAAGATAATCGAATAGAAAATTTATTAAAACTGTCATTATAGCGAATTAAAAGAAGCGATAAATATTTGAAAATCACAGGAAAAAAGTTGATTTGATTTAGTCGAATTATTTGTTTTGTAGAGCACGACGCTTGAGTAATTTCAATGAAGGAAATCCTACAATGAAAACAAAAATATCACATAGGAAATCGAATGAAAGTAAAAGAACCTATAATAAATGTCTGTATTGTCCATAAAAGTGTCGATTGTTGGTCGAACTTATGTTTTTGACAAATATTTCTAGCAAACATTGCTTCAAAAAGATGTGCAAGAATCGTAGCCCAAAGACCAACAATGAGACCCGTACGATATTGCGTTACTGACTGAGATAACGACCTACCAGATGCACCCAACTGATCCAACGGTATTATACTAGGATAATAGCCTAACAAAAATATCGTAATAAATCCTCCGGGAATAAGAATCCACCAGAAAATACTAGGCGATTGAAAATTTTTACTCATCTAGAATTAAATCAGTAAACACTCGATTTATAAAATCAACCGGAAAACTCGAAACACACGATTAAAAAATCAAAGCGGGAAATCCTTATGAAATATTTATTAGAAAGCAGCAAGCAGGGTGCAAAGCAACCTTTTGTTTGCAATGTTCGATGGATTTGCTGGTTCTAACTAAAAAACAATTCTGTAGAAACCATTGTGTAAATATTAGAATTAACTATTCTTTTCACATAGGACTAACGTAGATGTCTGAGTTTGAAGCGTAAAATAAAAGTTGAAACTTTTCTCTACAAAATAAGTTAAAAATTTCATTTCTCAACCTATTCTCCATGAAAATCAAACATTTTCGTAGAATTCATACTGTATTTCTCATTAACATGATTTACCGATTTTGATTTTTATCGTTTCTTTGCTGCATATTTTCTTAATTTACCCAACGAAACATAACCTAACGATAATGTCTGTAGGAACCATCGAATTGTATTGAAAGCGTCAATATGTAATTTTCGACATATTCTATAAGCAATTACTGCTTCCAAAAAATGTAAACCAATAGCAATCCAAAAGCCCCACACAAGCGAACAATGATGATTATATGCTAAAAATTTCGTAAATTGACCGTATGGACCCAAAATTTCATAGGGCATTAAATTAGGCCGAAATGTCACAATAGCGAATTGTACAAGGCCTCCGATAATAGGTATATACCATAAAGAATTCGCTCTTTGAAAGAAATGGTCAGTCATCTTAAATAAAAGAAGAAGAAAAAAAACATTTTTATAATCATAATAACAAAAACAAAAACAAGATCAACAAATGGAATTAGGAAAAACAATGAGAACAAATGTTGTTATACTGTGTTTCGAATGAAGAACAAAGCGAAGTTCGAAGATAAGAAAAATAACAAGCGAGATAAGGTCGGTTTCGAAGACCGTAAACAAAGACCTACACATAGATTATCCAACGACATGGATATGACTTGAATTTTCATTTCATTCACCGAACACGATCGGTGTTACGATAACTACAATTATCACGTAATGAATCATTATGTGTTTTGTATTCCAATGGACCTAAAATAAAAATCGATTCGTATAAAGTCATCGGTGTGACGCTAGCACGACTGAGCTAGCACGATGAAACAGAGATTCAACTATAAGTCTTCTCAGAAGTATTGCCGGCCCATAGAACCAGACCATTCGATGCAGAATTTAATTCTGGATCGGACGGTGATACGTTTATTCCCCGGCAATACTTTGAGAAAATTCTATCCGGTTTTTCTTGTCCTATTTAGAAGAAAACAAAGGTGTAGGTAAAATTTCTTCCTAAGTATTGCCGGGGAATAAAAGTATCGCCATCCGATCTAGAACTAAATTCTGCATCGAATGGTCTGGTTTTTATGGGCCGGCAATACTTCTGAGAAGACTTATAGTAGAATTTCTGTTGCATCGTGCTAGCTCCGTCGTGCTAGCTTCACACTGATTATAAAGTCAATGATTAATAAAAGAAACTATGTTCGATTAAATTTTACATATCAAGTCTATCCAATATTACACATTTCATAGATCATATTTTTATTTTTCGCAGAGCAAAACTATCAAATGATATTAAACAGTTGGGGCAAGTATATCCGATTTTCAAAAACTCACAAAACGAGCCTATTGGATATAGGCAACATGGTCTTGCTATAGTGTTTTTATATGAACATTTTAATGGAATACAATAATGCATTCTGAAAATTAGAACAGCTAACATACTATCTATTTTTCTTATTTTCGATAGTACTTACAATCTTGTGGCAAACTAAGGACTTTTTTCATCGTCTCTTTAATTCGTTGTGTGACTAATTGATTATTTGCAGTTTTTGTCCATATACTGATAAGATCTTCTTGTGGTCGAATTGAACAAACAATTCCACATATTTCTTTTCCAACATTAAATTGTTCACCAATAATAGCCAAAACGAGGGATTCCCATAGACGAGTAGATAAACCTTTTTTCAATCGTAAAATCCATTTACCACCAAGTCGATTTCCTTCTTCTTCCCACATTGGTTTTAGACTTTCTTTAAATAAATGAACATCACTGAAACATAAGAAAATTATATTCGATAAAATGAAAAATAGATATCATCATCTGTGGAACCTATAGAATGGAAGTTCAGATGGAAATTTCATATGATCATAATAATACCAAAATTCTTCAATGGAACCAAATGTACCTTTAAAAAGACGACGAAAATAATGTATAAAGTCAAATTAAGAATAAAAACAGACGAACCAAGTTTTTTTAAACAAGAATCATAGTTAACTGCACTATTCCGAAATGTAGTTGGCCGATGTGTATACCAAAATGTCCATCGACCTTCAAGTAAATTAAATGAATCATCTTGATTTTGAACATTATTTTCATCGTTTGTTAATGAGGAATTCTCCAGTTTATCATTTGTTTCTGACATAATTTCTTCGTCACTTATTGGATTCGCTGCCATTTTTTTGTCCCAGATTTCAATAGTAAAGAGAAAATTGTACACAGGTTTAAAATAAAACCAACAAAAGAAATCTTCGTACCTTCTCAGTACAGGTTAAAACGAAGTAAAATCAATATCGAAAACTAAACTCGAACTTGAACATATTTGATTGGTAAAATCAAATTTTCCAATCAGATGAAATCAATGAAATCGTTATACAAAGATGCCATCTATCGAGTATTTTTCAAATTTATATAGGGGATAGAATTCACAAAAACAAATGCCAACTGATTATATGAAGTAATGAAATTCTGTTCAGTATCTAAAAAGCTTGAGTATATTCAATGAAGCGTCTTTGCTCAATTTCAGATTTCAGTAAATATTAATCGATAGTTTATTATCCTGTTTCTGAATATATGTCCTTCCATTTAGCAATACACTACCAAATAAAGCTATTTTACAAGTACTCCGTCAGAGAATGTTTCATTTCAATAAGGTAGGATTTGTGGACTCTGTGCTGTCACAACAAGAAAAATTCTTTGCAAAAGATACGATACGCATAAGTCAAGACCGTTTTTATCTTGATTTCTTTCTGGTTGATTACACTCACAATTACGAAAGTATCCAGTTCACATCAAATATATGATCAATTATCATAAAATATTGTCCCTCATAGGCAAAATTTCAAATAAAAATATGATTTCTTATGAGTTATTTCGATTTTGATAAAAATCCAATAGAATTATATTGAGCTCACGACAGAATGTTTCAATATGTAAAATCAATTGATCCACACCCACTGGGTTTTATCCCGTGAATGGTTCTGTCTTCATATTATCAATCGACATTGCATCAAGGCGAAAATTAAACTTTTCATCAAATATGATCTGTTTATCAATTATTTATATCATAGTTTTCCATGAAAACTGATTAAAATTTGAGTGATGCTGTATTACATTCCAATGAAAATAGACCCATAAGAGATATGTTATTAATTATGGTCAAAATTTACTATCAGGTTATTCTGTAGTTAAAGCGCAAATTTTCAATAACTATAGGATTTTGAAAGTTCACATCAATATTACGATTTGTAAACTGTTTCTATCTTATTGTTTTTGCTTTAGGTTTCTTTATATTCTGTTTCAAAATGAATAGTTTTGAATATTTATTTTAATCAATTGTCTATATGCAAAAGCGTACACCACATGTTAATGTACATATTTTTGCTTGAATGAAACAGGCGAATTAATCTATTCTTTGTGACTTTTGTGACACATTCGGCGAAGAGAAAGTGACGGGTACTTTTGATTTTATAGGAACACTCAACGTCGAAAAAATCTACAACTGACGTAAAAATTCGCGTCTAAATAGAAGAGAAAAAAGTTCGACAAGAAAATTGCAGATTGTAAATTATTTTCAAGTTAGACGAAAAAGAGTAACAATATAATTGACTAATTTTTGTTTACTCATAATATTCAAATAAGTTCGCATACAATCCGTAGGCCTTCTACTGTCCGGTGTAGAAATAAATCTTAAGCGAAGCTTACAAAAAGTTGTACACTAAAATTATTCATTGAATTGTCAATCTTGATGGATTCATTGTTGACAGACGTTGAAGTGACGGAACCACTTCAAAAAAAACCCGATGAAAAGAAATCAGACGTAAAATTTTATATTTTATGTCTTGTGTAAGTACTAATTAGCATGTGTTGGTGATTTGTCCGAAAATATTTATTATTTTTTTATTGATTTAGTTTATTAATAATTTTATCGATCATGCCAATAGTTGCAATAATTATCGGTATTCACTTCCGAAATGAATGCCCAATTAATTTATTTCTTCCTGTTTGTTTAATTGTTTTGGGAGTATCAAGTATAGGTCTTGTAATTCTTTTCTCCTTGTTCATCTTGTAAGTATTATTTTATCTTATTTAGAGACTCGTGTTTTTCTTCAAATTTATTTTCTTTCTGTTATTATATCTCATAGATACATTGTCAAATCGTCAAGTTCCATTGATGATGAAAACACCACGCGTACAAGAAAGTGTGTATTTCGAACGATTGTTTGCATTTTGAGCATCATCATCGCCATATGTATTATATCCATATTAGTCGCCAATAGTATTTTCTTAATGATACGACGTCGAATAAAAGCATATCTTCAATTCGATAATTCAACGGATACAGAGACATATTGTCATCCGGTTGTCTATTATTCGCTTGCAACATACACGATTACCATTTTGGTTATGACAGTAGTCTGCATATGCATACCACGGATCGTAAAGCTATTGATATTATTACTTAAGTAGTGACAATCATGTGTTTACTGTTTAACTGATTTGCTTAATATATCAGGTGCATGTTGATATGGGAAAAAAGGAAGCTGTTTTGATGATGGAATTTTGAATAGAAACAATACATCAGATCAATACTTGTAGCGTAAAAATCGTGAACTTTTTTTGGTAGATTTAAAAAAGTAGCTTCAATATTAGCACTAATGTTATTTATCATCGCTTCGTGGCACATTCGAATAGGCTTTGTATTGTGTCGAATCAAATTTTTGCTTTTTGGATGTGTTCAGAGCCAGTTTTTTTTCTCAAATTATTATATTAACAAAATTCTCAAAATTAAAGATATCTTCTCTTTCAGCTACAGAGCAGATGCTACTTTTGAAAATTGATCAGAGACACAATTTCGATAGAAAATACATTTATTCTAAATACTCTTAGACAGGAAGAAGCTGAAGCAAAAATATAATCAATGACAACAAGATATTTATTCCATTAGCAGACTAACATTTTAGAAGCTGAGATATTTTGATTAAGATACAACGATGGGAAAGGTACGAATAATTCTCTTTGCGTCATGGCCACCCACACTGAAATAGATATATTTCGTAGTAAGTTTTTAAAGTTTAATATTGGTGAAATTCTCTACTATGTCTTTTTGCCACGCACTTAAAAATTTGTCTTTAACATCAGGTGCAATCCGAAAAGCAACTTCGGCACCATCACGATCTCGTGGTAACCATTGATTTCCGTCTTTTATGGGATTAAGACGAAACACACGAAAATATAATCGACCAGTCCATGGTGTATAAAAACGACATTTATCTGTGTAACCGAAGTCAACAAGATGTGCCCAATCATAACGAAGATTCGAATTAACGATAACGTCGTTAGGAAATGGCCCTAAATTCAGGAGTTGATGTTCTCTTAATATTTTTCTTTTCAATCTATCAGAAGTTGCTACATATGGTTCGAGAAATTTCGGATCACGTGTTTGAAGAATTGATCGACGAATCGTTTTGGCAATACTTGTTAAAGATAATGGATCATCGAAATTTTCAGACGATAAAACAATGGTAGCATTAGAAACAAGTCCAACTGGAGCAATCAAATCAGATACACCACGAAAATTTATGACAGTATCTGTGCGTAGAATAAGACGTTCATTATCATTATTGAAGCACTGAGTATTTAGTAGGAGAATGATGTACGAGCTAAGAGCATCTTGTATAGTCACTGAATCACCACCAGCTAATTCACGTAGTCTCGAAAGTTGTTTACTTGAAAAATGTAAATTAAGCTGTTCATGTGTTTCTTCTCTGGATAAGAACACTTGAATCATTTCTCTGAATGGTTTAGCATTCGACAATTCTTTGAGTAATGGTGATAGTGATTCATCGGCTTCTTCGTCTCGCCATAAACGTCTCTCGAAAATTGGCAACGGTGCCAAAGGTTCCAATTGCTGATAGAGACGTGAAAGTGTATTCAAAAATCTTAAATTCGATGCAGCATCACCAAGAACATGAGCCCAACTTGTACCCAATATCCATTCATTACTTTTTACAATGTGCGTGAGTTTTAAGCGAAATAATGGCTCGTCATTAGAACTCTCCATTAATTTCATAGTTTGTACTCCATCAATAAACGGTTCAAGTGAGTATTGAATGATATCGACAACGACTTTATTGCCGAGAGGCCATTGTTCTAGTTCACTGTTTTCAGCATATGTAAAAGGAATGCCGTTATCGGACATTTCAATGAAATAGTGACCACCGTCGAGCTTCAGAAAACGGCCGATGACGAATGGCCATAAAGACAGAGTACGACTGAGTGCATCTTTAAACCGATCGATATCTAGTTCTGCTGGATAGACAAAAATATTATCAATACGTAGAATGAGCGATAAATCGAGACCGGAAAGTTCAACGCGACGATTATTGCCAGTCGGCGATGACGGAAGAACAAGCCAAGCTGCCATATTTTAATCTATTGTGAAAATACGATCAGTATTTAAAAGTTAGCTAAGTTTCCTATACTGTGGTATGTGGTTCCGATGAATATAAATAGCTAACCTCCATCTAGTCTTCTTCACATCTCAATATAGGCTATAAAGGTTTTTGATACCGCTCAGCTTGTGTTTATGTTACGATTGTGACAAAGAACATACTGATCTATGCGGCGCTACGATCAAACTGAGGAAATAACTTTTCATCACTCTCGGTAATGAATTTTATGAAACTGCCTCACAAATAGGAAACCGATATAGAATCATCAATGACAGCCCTTATAAATATCGGCACTGTAACCAAACTTGAACTATATAGTTCTCATTAACGTAAAAAGGAAAATAATTAATTGTACTATCAAAATAGTAACGCAATCTGAGAAGCAAAATATCGTCAGTAAATATTAAGGTACTAGTCACACTGGAGAATAATGTCAATTTCTTGTGAGAATCGCGATAAATAAATAAATATACAGTTATCTCCCATAATGCAATAGAGAAGAAGTATTAAAGAGGGCGCTTACTATCAAGACTATTTCAATTAGTACTTGGGAGATGCTTTTTTCCATAGTGAATGATATGAGAATCAGGCAATATCATTGATGATAATTTTAATTTATTTTTCTCTGTGATAAAGAAAACATGTAAATAAGAGTTGGCACCCTTATAAATTTGTTTTTTCTAATTTTCTGTCCAAAGACAACTATAAATTAAATAGCCACAAAAAAAAGAATCTTTTATATGAAATCGCAATCCTGTGGGTGGGTGTGGGTATTTTCATCATATACACTCATACCTTTGCTTCTTTTTCAGTCTCATCACATTCATATTCCGCTATGTCTTAGAAAGTTACCACAAACTGATGTCGATCTTTTCTATTGACGATTCATAGATAGAGGTGTCAGCCGAAGGGTTGAACGATGACGGCGGGCAACAATTTTCAATTTTTGAAGATTTCCAGCGGCTCGTTATTTGAATGAGTAATGTCTTCAGTGCCGGCTGATATTATAGAAAAATCGGCTGCTGCGGCGGCTCAGCCGTACGGTTGACATTTCTATTCATAGATGCCCGGTAAAAAGTTCCAAGACTTTTGTTCGAAATATTATATCTATTTATCTAGTGGATACTGCTGTGCTTGGGATTTCATAAAAAAAAGCAACAGTGATGCTTTTCATTACATGTAAATAACTATTTTTTTAGATATTTACTAGAAAATTTGTTTCATCTTTTGCTTACTTCGAAGTAATTGCTGCATTCCTTCTTGAAATATTGGTATGGACGACAATATAGAATTGATTATACGTGGTGTTCTTGATAAAATTGAGCATAAGAATCTAACAGAATCCCCATCGACTTGGATTAATGGTGCATTGGCTGGTCGTTTTGGAGGACATTAGAATGTAGTCATGTATTCAGATTATGATGTGGTGACCGGGCTAAACAGTTCATCGTTACTTTGGCATAACAAGTAGTTGGCATATACAGAGAAATCAACGAGCATAGGTTTTGCTGCAGATGAAATTAAAAAATTCATGGATACAAAATTTGGATGGGCCACAATTAAGGATATTGATGCAGGGCAAAAATCTGCCTATATTAAAATTAATAATAAATTTCTTGATTCATGGCGAACGCATGTTACTCGAATAAAAAGCAAATGGTCCTGAAGTATGAAGGGAACTGCGTGGACAGATGATGGGTTGACCTTTTGTTTAATATATCGAGTAGGATAGAATAATATGAACTGTGCAGATGTTAATAAATTAATAAACGAATCTACAATATTGTTTTGGTACATTTATAGGAATCATGAACGCGTTATAGACGCTTGGAGGAATATCTTTTGTGCTTACAAAACATTTTCCCATGCGAATATAGATTTCGTGAAAGTTGCATTGGTCGACGTATTGATTTTCAGAAAATTAAACACTTACTTCAAATCTAGAAAATAAACGTAGATGTGAACACTTACATTTACAATTTCACAAAAATTATTGTCTACCACGCGATAGCATTTCTTTATATTTTAAACATCGTGTATTAGCTATTTTTCGTGGCGCATAATAGATGTTAATCTTACACAAAAAAAAACTGCTTTAGTCTGATTCGTCTTAGTAAGCAGTTATAGATTCGATCAGAGTTTAGTAAAAAATAGCTGTCTATCGGTATCGTTTTCTAACCTGTTTCGAACTTCTAAAGTACAAGACTTGATGTTCATGATGAATAAAAATCATCAGTAGATGTTTTAAGCACAATCCAAAAAAATTGAGTTTATTTACAATAATCTCCAAAGCTCGATAATTAGCGAGCCATCAATGTTCCTAAAGATTGCCAAGATTTGCATTAGAAAATATATTAGAAATTATCTGATATAAATTTCGTTTTGATCTTGTTTGAGTTTCATGTCGAGATTTCCAAATATGAACCTTCTCAATACGATCAAGAATTGACTTCACACGATCGCTTTCTGACAGCAATTGGTCCAATGTTTTTATCAATATCACTTTATCGGCATTTTCCATCGATTCCAAATCCAACACTTTGACATTGGGCACCACGAGAAGCCACAAAATCAATGACATAGCATCTAATCCATTACAAGCATATGTCTTCATATCGAGAAACGCCACCCTATTGAGAGTAGGTATTGTGAGCGTACTGTTGATCCACTATAAATAAACAAATAATTTTTGTTTTCGTGATCTCTATATGACAAGCAAACCTGTGTGAATAGTTTTTGTGGTGAATCGAATTTCCAGTAGTTTAAAGTGAGTGTTTGATTACACGAAGGAAAAACACGATCGATGAATCGCAGAAGATCAAACGTTATCGCTTGTTTATTATTGCTGTAAAAATGAATCGATTTTAAATCAGTGAAGCGAAGCATCGATGAATCCAACTGCCCCTTATTCAGTCGCCACAGATTGAGATCCGTCGGAAATATCATATTGACCGGAAAATAAAGAGGAATGGAACCAATAAAGACATGATCATTATGGTCCCGAAGAATAAGTACCGGTGCTCGAAGAGCATTGAGCCACCACTCGCTCTGAAATTGTCGACATAGATCATTTATGTCAACACTAATGTCTTCTTCATCAAACTCAAATTTAAATGATAATTTTTTTAGCTTTTGGCATGGCTCAAGGATTTTCTGGAGATGATAGCCGTCAAGAAATGGATCAGCCGATGAAATAACTAATGTTACTTGTTCAAGTGATGATTGATAACAACGGATCAACCATTCGATAACGTCAATATGAATACCACCGATGGCACTAGTGCCTAGATGTAATCGAGTCAACGATCCAAATCGAGAGACGACATCGAATAGACCATTTTGAAACGAAACGTTTGAACTTCCTTCGAGGACTCCAACACGCAACGACGTTAAATTCGGCACGAGACCACATAAATCTACTAGATCCTGTTCAGAACAATGCAGTATACCTAGGCGTTTGATGGCTAGACAGGGTTGAGCCCTTAAAATTGTATAACTCTGTGAATTATAGAACATTGAGTAAAAAAATGAATCGAAATATTTGTTCAAATGTACCTGATCATCGCTCTTTAGCACAATGCCATTGTTACGAAGATTTGATTGTCGAAAACATTCAGCCGTTAGGCCACATTGGGTAAGTGTGTTCAAACATGTAACCGCAGTTGCAAAGGCTCCATCGTTTTCGACATTGAATTCTACGGCGAAGCGCGCGTGTCTGAGAACCATGGAAGTAAGATTCCGATAGAAGTTCTCGCAGGGAAAAGCATGGGACAATGAATCGACTCCCAAAGACATGTTTACAATTGCATCAGCGATACGCGACATATAATCAAGTAGCCAAACTCGTGATACATAATTTGAGATTTTAAAATTACGAATAGACTGGAAAACAATCGAATTGAATCTCTGGTTGAGTCCGTGAAATGCCTGAACAATATGAGATACATGCAAATGAGAAACGATTAAGTATAATATTTCATTTGGCAATAGTTCAAGTTTTCTAAATAAATTTCAATTCAAAGAAAAAATGAACTGAAATAAATTATCACTACCTGGCTGCTATATGAGTATTGATTTGATGACCACGGTCTACATCATCTTTATTAACACTTGACACAACAGTTGCAATCGAATTCTAAGCAAAATCAGTTGTAGGCAATACTATGGCCCAAAAAAAGAATGTTTTCACTTACAATTCTCAGTCGCTTCCGAATGATATTTTCTTCATCTCGTTGTGCAGATGATGTTCGTTTTATTTCAACACCTGAGTTTTCCTTATGTATGACTGTTGATAAGCTCATTATTTCGACAATCTAAAATAAAAAAATCAATTGACAAAAAAATAGAATGCATTAATATCTTTCAATTCATATTCGAAATATTTTCTCCAAGTCATCTGCGACTTATGTGTCTATTACAAACTAGAACCATCGGTTAGTTCGATTCTTCCCGTCTTAACAACATTCAAAGGAAATAAAAGTAAACATCATAGAGTAATGTATTAATGGCAATGTTTATACTAGTATTTTTTCATGATTTATTCAACACAAATTCGAGAAGATGAGTGTCGCTGAATCACTTTCTCATCATTACACTTACTTCCGCAATAAACTTGAATGAAACAAGAATAGCTTATACACGAATAGAAAGTATATTGTAATTAAAGTCGTTTTGCTACTAAGTAAGATTCTCTTTGACGTGTGTTTTTTTCTTCCGTTTCGTTTTTCTTTTTTTCTCCAATGAAGAGAAAACACTTAAATGAGTCACATGGAAAGAAAGAAAAAGCTACGGTCGAAAATTTTACCCACAGTGCACCTACCGAATAGTTATGATTGTCAAAGAGAGTGGCTGGTTGAGCAGCTTCGGATCTGTTGTCAATATAGAAAGTATATCTGTCATAGGCTTTTCGCTATAAAGAAATATCGCTGATTGGTTGATTCCAGACCCATTTTTAATCAACTCATACGTTGTTACCGAGTTTTCAACAGACTCTGTTTAATCATAGAAAATCATAATGAATGAGTTTTATTCGCCTTTACTGAACTTGATCTTGAATTATAATCACGTTCTACCTTGATAGTTCACGGATCAGACAACTTTAGCTTTGCAAAAGAGCTCACATGTAAATAATTCTTCGTCAATTAAAAATTTTGTGAATCTCTCGCATATGCTTCAAGAAAATATAGTCAATAGGGCAATGAATCGAAGTTTTTGGAACTCTCGGTCTCTTAAATATTAACGAACAGGCATCGAAACATATATAAGATGCACATTGATAACAAAACGAAGCGGAGAACGATAACTAAACATTATTTGATACGACATCCGCAATTTATAGGGTAATAGTATGGATAAAACCATACTGTAGAAAGAAGAACAGGACGAAAAGGGAAAATTCCAACATAAATGAATGGAAAGGAAAACTCGACTGATGCATGACTAAACATCGGAGTATTCATGCATGTACACACAATGAAGGAAATTCTTATGAATTCTATCTAATATAAATATTGCGAATTTCAATTCATTGAAATGATACTTTCGCAATAGTTCGCTTGCCTTCAGATTGCGAAGGTTGATGAACGAAGAGTAAAATGAATGTATTGGATTTGAAAAAGAGTAATGACAAATGTAAACATTTTTCGACATGATTAAAATTCTAAATAAACTATTTTACAGTTTCCAACGATATATTATAAATTCGTAGTAGTCAGGCTTTGTAAGTTTTGTTTGGATTTTTATTGGCAAATTGTTGTAGCTCGGTTAAAATATATCCGTGAAATCCAAACTATGGTTTTCTCGTTGATGAATTCTCAATTTGACTCTATTCTCGGAGTGAGTAATGTGCAAAAAAAACAATTTTCTATGTAACATGAACAGCAAGCAACTGCAGTATTGATGTTTTTCTTTTCTTTCCTTTTCAGACTGAAGTTCAAGGTAGTTTACCTGGCTGACAGAGCGACCTTGGTAATATCGAATAAAAATCATTGGTAAAATCCAAACGTAATCACGTAAAACGTGGATGTTTTTCTTTCTTATCAGAATATTTTTTCGACATAGCAATAAAGACAACATACGAAAACAATGTCAATGCCACGACTGCTGTATCATTAAAAACAAAACAATAAGTACAAAAATGCTAGTAGATTCGACAGAAAAAGATGAAAATCTAGAAACATATTGTTTGATTTGGTTGGACAAGTCAGTAAATAAATCAGAAGAAAATTTTCATGCTCAACAAATACTGCGAGGATCGATTCATCGTTTATTGACCTTTGACGATGAGGAACGATGCTTAGACTATATTGATCATCTGTCCGATGATGATCGAATTGTTATGATTGTCAGTGGACAACTCGGTCAAGCAATAGTTCCTCAAATTGCGTACCTTCGAAAAATCGTATCTATTTATGTATATTGTATGGATAAGCAAGCCAATGAAAAATGGGCTCAACATTTTTCTAAAGTAATTATATTTGAGTTTCTATTCTTTTTTACAAGAAAAGATCATGATTTAGAGTTCAAAATGAAATTTTTGTTTTTGCTTTTAAGGTGAAAGGTGTTGTCGCTCAATTAGATCAACTTATTCATCTCATTCAATCACATCAAACGCAACGGCAATATACTAGAATTGATGAATCTTTAGTAATCAATGTTTTTAAACCAAAAACTCAAAATTACGAACAATCATCTACGGGATTAAATGGTCAATTCATTCATTCACAATTGTTAATTGATTGTCTTATTCGAATGGTACCAACAACCAATGATAAACATGATTTTACCAATGTTTGCAAAGAACATTATAAAAACAGTCCAGTTGAATTAAGTATCGTCGAAGAATTCGATAAGCAATATTCATCTCAACGAGCGTTATGGTGGTACACACGCGAATGTTTTATCTATCGATTATTGAATAAAGCACTACGAGTACAAAATATTGATATATTGTTTTTATTAAGATTTTTCATTCGAGATATTGGACAACAATTAGAAAGGAATAAATGTTTATCGCCGATTCGAGCCTATCGAGCACAACAAATGTCAAAAGATGAACTCGAAATATTGAAAAATTCCATCGGAGAATTTATATCAATGAATTCATTTATTTCGACGAGTCTTAATCGACAGAAGGCTCGAGCGTTTCTCTATTCTACTAATTTGACAGATGATATGGAAAAAGTCTTCTTTGAAATAGATGCTGATCCTCGCTTGAAAAATATCAAAGCATTTAGTAAAATCATTTCACTGAGTTGTTTTCCAGAAGAAGAAGAAGTACTTTTCACGGTTGGATCAATCTTTCGACTTGATAACATTCAATGTGATAGCGAAGGAATTTGGATTATTCGAATGATCTTATGTTCTGACAATGATCATCAGCTGCAAACAGTTGTTCAACACATGCAAAATGAATTAGGTACCGAACAAACCAATACTCTAGTTTTTGGTCACGTCCTTCGCAAGATGGGTAAATTGGATGATGCGGAAAAATATTATCGTTTTTTTCTCGAACAATTCTCTTATGACGATTCAAATTTGGCACATGGTTACCACGCGTTAGGTCTCGTAGCAAATGAAAAAGGTGATTTTGGAGCAAGTTTGATATGGTATAATAAATCACTTGAGATCTTCTTGCGAATATTGAAACCAAATGATCCAAATATCGCTGTTTCTCATAACAGTATCGCCATCGTACATCAGCGGAACGGTGATTATATCCGTGCATTGGACTCGTATGAGAAGGCACTAGCGATTTGGAAAAGAGTTTATGGTGAAGACCATCCTTGCATAGGTATATGTCTCAATAATATGAGTAATGTTTATCGAAACGAAAAGCAATATACAAAAGCATTAGAATGCGTCGAGAGAGCATTGAATATTCTACGGAAGCATCTTCCTGTTGATCATGCCGATTTAGCTGCACTCTATGGAAGTATGGCTAATATTCATCTATGTCTCGGCCATCACGATGAAGCCTTACAAAAATATAATCTTTCGCTTGAAATTAACAAAAAAACTCTTCCTTCTCAACATGCTAACATTGCCATAACACTAAACAATATTGGAATTGTCTATGAGGATAAGAATGACTATCGACAAGCACTTCATTATTTTAAGCTAGCAGAAGATATCTATCGACATTCTTTACCTTCCGCGCATCCTAAATTAATTCAACTTGAACAAAGTATCAAACATATGTTATCAAAAATAAAATAGTTCTCACTGACTTCTTTGTTCTAATATGGATAAAAATGTGTACGCAATCAATCTCATAATAGGAATGATGGTTTCACTTGACGGTGTTCGAGTGCGATTGAATATACGATACAGGAGTAACTCGTCTTCCTTGTATAGTCACATTTACAGCTTAGTGTGTTAATCGTCCTTCCATCGTATTGTATAAATGTTTTGAGGAATAATTAACCCCAGATCTTCAATACCTGGTATAAATCTTTCGCTAAAAAAGGGTGCGAGAAGTGATATAGCTTTAAAATAAGTTACATACAAATATTATGCAATTTTTTTAAAACACTGCATCCTAAATTGAATGTCGTATATCGCTCTTAAAGCGAATGTTTTGGCGCAGGTAAGCTAAATAGATCGATACAACTATAATGTGACTTCTCAATATTGATTTGTGAAGAACCTACCACCACTTGCTATAAATTGACTGATCGATTCAAGGCTGCGTAATAGTGCGCTGTTATTATGTTTTCTAACAAGCAAAAACTCGAGTGTGTTTGAAAATATATTTTTCGTTCTCCCCCCAGTCACACCTTTATGGGTATCACTGCATACAGGCAGAAGTGCGGTAAATAAGATACTATTGGAAGAAAGCGCCATCGTAATCACTGCTTAAACTGTACTACAAAGTCACCCATGACCTAGCAATTAATTTCGTGTATACCAATCTGATAATAATCGTGGTAGAAACATTTGTGTTTAGTCTTGGATGAACATTGCACTCACACTTAAAGATTACTTTTTTCTCTCACACATGATAAGGAATGATGTTGCTCTTTCGAAATTTTTTATTCTACGCTTTAAATGCCTTGTAATTTTGTATTTTATCTTATACGGTGCAAGGTCATATTGATGAATACACTTATACTCATCATATTTTTCACATTTACTGTTGTTTTAGATTCTTTTCCATATTAAGTAATTATAAAAATCTTAAAATGAGATATAGTTCCAAATTAGTAGGGGACTCCCAAAAATCAGCTGTTCAGAAAATTGAGTGTAAAAAACGAAAGCATTACCTTATCCATGATTTTCACATAAAATACGTTGAACGATGTTTTTTGAATTATTCTGAAAAATCCACTTTTCTGATGATGACCCATAAGTTTTTATTTCATTTAAAGATTTAAGCATCGAATCAATACGACCTACAATAGAGTAAAATTTTAGGCAATGCCCATTCCACGTAAGTTTATTAGAAAACATTTGTTGTAGAAAAATTAGATTTAATTTTTAAGTTTCTAGAAAAACAATTCTACGTATGCTTACTTGTAACAACAGTGGCAAGTTTTGTAGTTATTCGTCGTTGTCTGCAACAAAAGAAGAAAAAACTCGAGAAAGAACAAGTAAATTGATTGTTTGTGTATTTATTTAGATTATTATTTATTATTTTTGTTCATACAATTAGAAGGAAGCCTACTTAAAATGTAAAACATTATTTGAGTTTGAAGCATTAGCTAAACAATTGATGAAACCTCACCGTTTCTATTACTATGATTATAAAGCTGGTCAAGGACATACATTTCAAGCATCCAGAGATTATTACAATAAACAATTAAAAATTATCCCACGAGTGTTAATGCATGTTACTAATGTTTCGATAAAAACAACTATTTTTGGGTAAGAAATGGTTCGAATGAAAATAAATTCCAGATAGCTAGTTGTTAAACAAGAATAGAAATTGATTTTTCAACGATATTATAGATCTACATATGAATCGCCCATTATAATAGCACCTTCGGCTTTTCATTGTCTTGCTCACAATGACGGTGAAGTAGCAACAGCTCGTGGTGCGACTGAAGCTGATTGCATTTATACTTATAATTGGTTGTATTCAAATATGCCAGAACAAGAAGTTTTAAAAAGTGCAGGTTAATTATTCATTTTTAATTCTTATTGAATATTAGATTTTTTCATTGCAAAAAAGTTTAGGCCCAAAATTTTTACACGTTTATTTAACAACGCCATCAGAATTTTTAGAAAAAATCGTGTCAGAAGCTGAGATAAAAGGATATCGAGCCATTGTGGCTACATGTGATCATCCAACGGATCGTGTTCGAAAGACTGTTGTACCAATATTTGATGAAGCATCAAAAACTGTCGATCACGACTTAACAAAATGTATGTGCATGCCTAACATGAATTTAAATGATGTTATTAACAAGCCAACTAGCGGTGTGAGCGGTTCGGTAACCTGGGCACATATTGATTTAATAAAAAAGTTAACACAATTACCAATTATTTGCAAAGGAATACTTTCACCAATTGATGCACAATTAGCAATTAAACACGGAGCCAACGGAATTGTTGTTAGGTAGGTTTAAACATCATTTTAAAGCATTGAAAATCCGTTCTTTTAGTAATCATGGTGGACGGCAAGTTGACACAGCACCTCCAGCTATTGAATGTTTGGAAGATATTGTTAATGTTGTTAATGGACGTGTAGAAGGTAAGTTTTAATTAAGATTTCGACACATGTTAAGAGTTAAAATCTACTCGGAAATAAAATTTAATTTCTCTTGAATTTAAAAATCGATTTATTTGACTTAATATTTAACTACATCCATAATTTAGGAAACTTGCTCTCTGAAATTTATATCATAGGAATCATTTATTTTTGTTGACTAATTTCAATTTGATGTTGTATCGGACGAAAGTGTTGATATAATCCAGATTTTCATTACTTGTCTTGCTTTTAGTATTTGTTGATACGGGTATTCGTAGTGGAACAGACGTGCTAAAAGCATTAGCATTAGGTGCACGAGCTGTTTTTATTGGTCGGCCTGTTTTATTTGGATTAGCTTGTGGTGGATCTGATGGAGTTAAAACAGTATTAAATATGTTGAAGCAGGAATTAACCGATGACATGGCTTGCTGTGGAGTAACATCAATTGATCAAATTAATAAAGATATTCTTTATAAACACACGTAAAACATTTAATTTGATATGTAAAAGGACCAAGTCGAACATGTTATCTTGGTTCACTTTAATTACACAGTTATCTTAAACTCTTTAGCTAAAATTAAATTAGAACTAATTAGACTGATTTATCAGGAGCGAAGATTTCTAATAAAATAATATAAACTTTAATAAATTAGTAAATTATTCTGACTTTCTTTCGATACACTAATACTATGACATGCATTTTCCCATGTTTCATTTATCTTTGTGACGTTCTAGTTATTCCCCCTGCATCTCGTGAGTAGATAATTGGATTGACACATTTGAAGTTTGTTCCTGAAGTTATCATATTTTGTATATGCTCATTCATCTGCATTGCTGATCATTCATGCCCTCAACAACGCTGTGCCTTGGCAAACAGTGATATTAGCAGATGTTCTGTCTCTGATTATTGCTGAAGCGTTGTAACTAGAGTCTGTGTTAGTTGGTAATTAAATTCTTCTTTATTATTCTCTTGTTTATTAGAAGGTGATTACAACGTTATAAAAATTTTTTTTATGAGATTTTAGATTCTTAAAATTTAGAAATATAAAGTAATAAAATCTTGTTTAGATTTCCAGATGCGAGTACAGGCAAGTCACTTATTCAGATCTTGCCCTTATTTTTGTACTGGCATCTGTTCATTATAGATTGATAGGAGAAGATTTTTGAGTTCTGTGCTGAAATTTTCTTGTAATTTTGTTAGATAATCTTGAGCAACGGAATACTGTCCAAGTGGAATTCGAATCATTTTACCATGAACAGTACTACCGATTGATAGTGTTATAACTCGGCCTTCATCATTGATACTTGCCAAACATATAATTATAATAGAATAATTTTGATTACGCCAATAATATGTGAGAATATCATCATGTCGGTATTCGTTCATTGGATGTTGTGCAGTATTCAACCATGTACAATTTCCATCGAACCATGAATATTGATCAGAATTGGAATTCAAGAATTCCTGTTTAACTTGAGTAAATGCATTGGCTGCATTTTGAATAGCAGCTGGATGATCGTTTGTTGGTATCATCTTAAACGATGTTGTCAATGGAATTAGATTTCGGAAAATGTCGCCAACTGCATTCAGATTTGAATGGCTCGGTGTAAATAATTGTGAAATGCATTTAATTCGACATTCTAAATCTTCGATTGTCCATGGTTCGTATTCAGGAAAACCAAAAGCACGATTGAATGTATCAATCAAATAAGTTTTCAATTGGTTGCCATCTGGATACAAATAAAAGAAAAACGTTACTTTTTTCGGATAAAATTGAATAGGAGAAGGGCTATAAATGGAGTTTTTTGTTTCGTAATTAATTTCAAGATAAAAAAAACTATGAAGCCTAATTAATTATACTGTTACATACTTGCAATGTTGGCAACATTTGAAAATTTTCGATCGAGTTTGTCATGTACTTCAGGTTTCAGATGAGGAAGTATTTTTTCACGATGTTGAGGAATCACATCCGTCAATAACCAGAGAAGAATAGCAACGATAGCCGATGCATCATTTGTTGCACTATATTTGAACGATTGAGCATTTGCTTCTGGTGGTTGATACCACCGAGTTGCGTTTTCCTGATTGATGTGAGTTGATTGATGTGATTTTATATAAGCTTGAGTAAAATTTAGCAATGTCAAATTGGCTTCATCAATTGACGGATTTTTTGATTCATACTCAATTACGATATTTTCAGGTTCGAGATTTTGATGTAGTATACCTCGAGAATGAACTTGCTTGACAATGCCTATTAAATGTTGAACAAATTTTATAGCACTTGATACTTCAATATCGGTTTTATATTTTTCTCTTTTTTGATCCATAAATGTCTTTAATGAATGTGTCGATGCTCGCTGCATAATAATCCATAAATCATCTTCCCCGCCAGCTTTTTTTCCAAAGTTGTTTGATTGCTGTTCTGGTTCAATCAATTGAGCAACACCTGGCACTCCTGTAATAAAATCGAAGAAAACCTATTGCTTCAATAGATCTTGCTTCTGTGATATGCTAAATCACAGTTCTTCATACCTTTCAACATTTTGAGTGCAGTTAATTCTCGATAGCAATCGCCTGTCGGTTCATTTTTATAGACTTTTATAACTGCCGACGTTCTTCGGTCTGATTTCCTACGAATGAATGACGCTCTTTTACCAGTACCAGATGCTCGTTGAATGGTTTCCCATTCATCAGATGGTATACCACTCGGTAGACTTCCTAAAATATCAAGTACTAATTTTCGTAACAATGAAATCTTACGCTAGTTTAAAACAAACGAACTTGTCGAATCCAGTGCTGATGCAATATTTTCTGTTGAACGTTTTGTTCGCATAGAAAGCTTTTCCAGTGATTTCCCAATACCGTTAAAAGCTTGAGCATAAAGTCGACCTTCGTGACCGACGCATTCATCATTAAGTACTCGTATTTCAGAACGATCTTCATCTCTTGACACAGATGATTCTCGACTGTGTTGTGTACTGCTACTAATGCTTGAACGATCGGTCCTACGCCAACGAGTATTGAGTTCACTATTGCTGCCGCTAAGTGACTGTTTCGATCTTGACAGAGCACTATGCATATTCGATGGTTGATTTATTTCTAATTGACATTTTAGTTTCTGACCATCAATAGATTTATCATGCCATTTTTTCATAAGATGTTTTGCATATTTGAATGTTATTACATAAATGATGTAACCAACTTTATTTTGATTTTCATTAACATAACAAGATTTTTCCTGTTGATGCAACAATTCAGCCAAACTTTTTCGTGTTGGTTTCTTTTCGAAACCACTAATTTTGATTCGATAGGACATTGTTGTCTCTTTAAAAAATGAAGAAAGGTACATGAATTTTCGTTCTTGTACAATCACAATATCTGTAATTTTATTTTATACGTCTCGAATCTTTTCAAGTGGAAGTCGTTCGTCAATGTCGTATTTTTAATTCAAAACATTAACTACAGATTTTATTCGAACTCTAAACTATCATAACTAATGAAGATTACAAGGAATCATAGGTCGCTCTTCATTGTGAAAGATGAACATGATAAAAATCAATGTTTTCGTATGAGGCGAGCTTACAGAAAATCATATTATGAATAGAATGAATATCGTAGTCTTGTTTTGATCAAGAAACTAATGTTCCCCTATATACTTCTTACTTCTATACTTGATTGAGAAGTTCAACTTACTGTTTACAGTTGAGTATTCCGTTTTCTCTCCTTTCTCATGACCATACGGACAATCTCTTGAACATGTACGATTCGCCGTACATTTTATATGTACCCAGTTACAAATATCGTCGCGTTTGTCACATTTGCCGGTTCGAAAAAATCTACACAATTCCAGCTGATCTTCCTCTTTTTCGCATTGAATAATCGATCGATTGATCGTTCGTTGTTTTGAATTTCGTATAAATTCATCAATTTTTTCTTGATCGTCTGGACTTTTTAACCAACATTCCATTGATGGCGATTGATCATCGTCAGTCGGTGATCCCATAAGAATATCATATACGGGCCAATTCAATTCAACCGATAATCTTTCGGCATCAATATTTATTGGCAAATTTTTTATATGAACACAATATATCCGTTCTGGCAAATAAAGACTGGATATTTTAGGATCTATTATTGAAAATAAAATAGACTCAGCTATTAGAATTTTAGGTGTGTATAATGTGGAAGCATACCGATTGTAACTTTTAAATTAGACTTCTTTGGTGGTACAATTTCCTTATAATTGTTTGGGTTTGGAAGAGATTTCTCTGAATCCGGGTTAACCGTCGATAAATGTTGGTCACCTTTTCTGATGTCAACTAGAATACCGTTTATTTCGTGTGGTTGATTTAGCAAAGCTCTATCAACCGAATCATAACTAGATCGAACGAAAAATTCAATAGTTTAAATTATATTTCTGACAGATTGAACTTACTCTTTAAAATGAATTACATACACACTATTATTATCATTTACACAATCAATATGATCCATTTCGCCATATTTACGAAAATATCTTTGCAATTGAGATTTTTGCATTGATTGGTTCGTAGTACTCGACACCGTTATAACTTGAACATCTCGGTTATCTCTCGACGATTTTTGATCAGGAACATGTCGATGAATAAAAACTTCTTTTCCATCGATTATAAGTGGTCTTTTCGACATGAGAAGAGTAATACTTGATTCATCCTCGAACTTTACTATTGCATGAAATTTGTTGTGACCTGAAAAAACCGTGTACAATTTTTTTCTATTCATTCGGAATGGAATAGCGTAGACTGATAAAATTTTTCTATGGATACAAATTCACATTAATATTCTTACCTTCTTCATTGGTTGGCACTGAACATTGTTCAAATGGATATTCCGACAAAAAATTTTCTAATGACTGTTTCGTTGTTTTTGGACTTATCTTTTGAAATAGTAACGTCCGTTTATAACTTTCCATATCAAAAATTTTACTTGTCTGTAAGTTATTCTAAATGGAGTAAAAACCCACACATTGCATTATTGTATTCATTTCCTCTTCTGCTTACTTTTGCTGCCATCTAATAAAATTATGAAAGTTTATAATAATGAGTTAGAAGATATATGAATATCTAAAAGACATGAAGTGGAGAACAGGTTGTCAATGTCTGGAAAATGAAACGCTGAAATAAAAAAAACTAGTGTTATATACTTCATCTGGTAGGTTTTTTCCAATATAATTGAGTAATAACCTGTCTTCATGATGTAATGTAAAACGATCTCAGCGTTTTTTTTTATTTTTTTCCATTCTCTTCTTCTTCTTTTCGCTTCCATTTACGTAGAATTCTTTCTTGAAGTTTTACGCTGAAATTATCATCATTGATAAAAATAAAATACCCTAGACAAACACGAAGCCCACTACGATTTTTCTTTTACAAAAGCATGTTGCATTCACTGTTGTGAAATTTTTCTTGAATGACATAGTTGAAAAAAATGAAAATAGCCAATTAAAACAAAAAATTCAGATTGCTTATGTCAACAAATAGTTACCGACATGATTGCATTATTTTATTGTGCACATGGCGATGCCACCAAGGAAAACAAAGAATAGCAATTGAGTAGAATTCAAAATGTAGAATGACGCAATATGTAAAAGAAAATTTCCATTTGTTGTATTGTAAGAGAGCAATGTTAAATATGGGTGAAGGTGACGATGAGAAGAGCACACATATACCTACCAGCATCATCATGACTAAGTGATTTTGCTCAAAGCTTCGAATACGAAAAAGTTAGTTTAGCGCAAAATAAACATCTGGCAGAGTTTCGCTCTTAAACAAGCAAACTACATTTTTTTTTCTTTACTAGTCTTTGAGGCTTCGATACTCATGCAGCACGATTTATATATTATACAGATTGAACTTATTGTAAACGTTTGATTCTTTAATAATCAGAAAAAAATATAAAAATGACAACAGTTTATGTTTAAAGAAAAAAAGGAGGTAGCTAACCAGAAACAGCTTCTCTCAATAGCGACTCGTTAATTTTAGATCTTCTCAGAATTCGAAAGGGAACTCATTCCTAAAATGATATCTGCTTCTACAAACAAATCTAGACAAAAAATAACAATATATTTGCCAAGGATTATCAGAAGAGCTCTTTCTTTCTTCTTTTTGGATTTGTAAAACCGATTTTCACACAGGATTAAGTAAAGATTATTCGTCAGATTAATTTCAATAGATGTTTTTAGATAGAATGATAAAATTTAGTTTGCACAACAATCTATAAGTGGTGTCCAAAGTCAATCCATAAATTTGACTAGAACAAATATTGATATATATATATATATATGTAACATATCATGTTAGGACGTTGTTTGTATCGTTATTGGTATTCGAATTCAATTTATGAAGATAATTACAAGCACAAATCTCATCTAACTAAATTTTAATTAATTAAAATAATAACATATTGTGCACTTCCTCTTATTGTTGCTATATTTACTTTTGTGACAACACTTCAAAATCGGCACATAGCTCAACAAAATCGTGAACAAGATTTGATCGAAGCTGAAGACGATCAACGACAACGATTTTTGGTTAACTATATGAATTATAAATATTGAACATTTAACACATAATTATAATAAACTTTTTATATGCGAACAAAAACATTAACAACATTAAACAAATTAGATAACGAATGTAAAAAACATATTTTATTGTTTCTGAGAGAAAGGTCGTCGTTAAATCAGGACGAACAAAGTTTATTAGTTGGAGCGAATTTCAATGGAATTGAACTCAATCAAAATGATTGTATATTTAAAAATGTGACGTTTTCCGGTATTTATTTTCAAGAAGTTTCATTTCGAAATTGCCTCTTTGAAAATGTAATATTTCGTCAAGTCGATTTTCGTGGAGCAATTTTAACGAATTCATTAATTTTCAACAAGCAGTTATATCTGCTTCAGATTCTAATAGTTCATCATTAAGTTATACAAATTTTCAACAAGTTAAAATAGACTGTGTCAGATTCTATAATGTTAATTTAACAAAAGCGAGTTTTTCTGATAATTCTTCTCGAATGCAATTTTCCATGATTCGAAATTCTCTACTACCCAACGGAACATTTTCATCTACTGATGATATTCATATTATTTCGAACCTATGCGTAGCTATTGAACAATGGTCTCCACTACTAACCGATGGTATTCTTGTTGATAATTGTACTTTCATTATAAATATTTCGAAAACAACTATAGCGCAATATATAAGAGCACCTTTTATTGGCCGCTTCGTATCAATTGATGTTTCGATTATTATTTACTTTGTTGGTGTAGATCGTGGCGTGTTTCAAAACACAACAGTTCGGTAAGTTGAAGATAGAGATAGTTTAATTCTTATATAAAAGAAAATAATAAATAAACTAAAAAAGTAGTTTACTGTTTTTTAGCTCATAGTAAGGATACCGATACAAGAGTCCTCTAAAGTTATGAGAAGAAATTTTGGCCGTTCTCCAAGGTTAAATGTATGTAATTTTTTAAAATATTATTTTTTTTTGAGTAATGAAACCAACTGCCGGAGGAAATTTCAGACGAGAAATCTTTTCTGCATATTCTACCATTTTTGATAAAGCGAGAAAGTTTTCTCCTTGACTTCAGGTGACTTCTCTTCATACCAAAAATATACACTAATCCAATTGGTTAATAAATGAAACCATTTCATTTTCTTCCACCTAATATGAAAAATATTATTCAAAGTTTTATATCCAATTCGATAAATGATAAGATTGCTTGTCGATAGACACTGCATTTTCTACTTTTTCTTCTTTTTCTTCTTCTTCTTCTTCTTCTTCTTCTTATGAGCAGACTGTCTGCCGAGCAATAATCTGACTTGTCAACATCATTTTCATATTCCACCATTTGCACGGCAAGCTTTCTTGAAAATAATCTTTAAAACAACGGGTGGTACTATTCAACAAATAGCTTCTTCAATTACGAGAATAAAACATAATGTCGTATGAATATTCGTTTCAATCAATACATCTGTTGCAATACAGGAAAAATTAGTATGGTAAATATGTAAAAAAAAAATCAATTTAATTAATGATTTCATACTGGTTTCAATAATTTTCCTAAACTTTTTTTATACAATACATTTGCTGTAGACGTCTAACGAATGTAATTTTAACTTTCGAGTTTTATGCATTAAATGAACTGGACATACTTCAAGGTAGACGTAATTCTTTAGATCATATAGCACAGCTAGTGCAATCAGAGTAGATTAATATGATGAAAATTTAAAGTACTTCAGTTGTTCAATCACTGGTAAAAATAAAAAAGTTTAAACAACTTCAATATCTGCCACTGTTTTGTACCAATGAATGGATATGTAAACAGACAATTTTATTTCTGAAGTTATTTTTCGTAATTACTTTACAACAGCAAAAATGATTGAAAATCAAAGCATTTAATTAGTATCACGATCGGTAATTGCCGGAAATGCTGTCTTGTCGATTGTAGTCGAAATTTGAATTTGAGCAATATCTTTAGGCAAAGCAAACCAAATGAAATGTTTATATTTATCTAAGATATTTAGTTCAGGATCATTTTGATAATCAGGAGTTCGCTCTGAAATATCTTTTGCAATAGTTTCAGCTTTATGAAAAAGATTATCTGGCGTAGATATATCTGTCGATTGACTTGGAAGATACAATTTGTTGTCAGATTCTGGGTCATCCGCTTTCATTTGCCCATTTTCGTAATGAATCTGTTTTAAACTATGATAATTTAATAAATACTTTTCAATAGCTACATCTCGATGATGCCAAACGCCGGTCGACGGATTGTACGTATACTAAAATAAATGAATATATATTCATTTTATCAATATTAGTTGAAGAAAAAGCATACTAATGGTAAAAATTGCCATCCATATGTAGCAATAAATTCTATTGCATTCAAAATATAATCGATTTCCTCGTTACTTGCAAAATATGATAAATTAAGACGAGTAAAACCAGGTTTTATCAAAAGATTTCTTTCTATTTGATTATTTTCTTCATCGATCCGAGCACTTGAAAACAAATGATTTTGCTTTTAGATTTTCAAATAAATTAACAAAATTTTACTTTGAATCTTCAGCGAGGAACATTGCATAAACATGTGCTTTTTCATCATCAATGCCAAGTAAATCCTACCGATGTAGAGTATTCTTTGTGAGAAAAATTTAATTGTTTTTTTCGCTTACTAAAACATAGGGTCCAGCACAAGCACAACCGGATCGTACTTGAATACCAAATAAATCATTTAATAACGAACAAATAAAATTATAATGTAAATATTTTTTTATCATTGGTACATAAATTAAAAATGAAAAAATTGCAAGACGAGAAACACTCTGTGAGCCAAGTATAATTAATGAATTTATATTTTTAAAACGTCGAAAAAATTTTTCAACCAATTCATCTTCACGTTTCTGAATAAGATCATGACCAACGGTATCTTTTAATTGAAAAACTAAACCAGCTCGAATCGAGCCAATGATATCAGGCGTTCCACCTTCTTCACGTATTTCAATATCATGAATATATTCAGTATGGAGTCGCGTTACAAAATTGACTGTACCACCACCACAGCCACACGGAACAATGTTGTGAAATAGATGCTTTTTTGCAACCAGAATACCTAAGTTTACAAAATTGAAAACAATATTTTATCTGAAAATGAGAAGTTTTTCGTAAAAAGTCTGCAGAAAATCAGTAGGAAAGTAATTTACATGCTTTGAAGGAATACAGTGTCTGACAATATTACTAAATTTCTATTACTATTTTGATATCCGCGATACGTATAATTAAAAACTAAGATCAAAATAATATCTTGTTCCAAGAAATGAATATCCGTTAGTACTAATCGATAAAACCAATAGCAAAACACTGACACATCATACCTGGTGTACCTGGACCACCAACGAATTTATGTGTAGAAATAAAAACAGCATCCTTATAAGCTGTTTCTGATGGGTTCATATCAATTTTAACATACGGTGCTGCTGCTGCATAATCCCAAAAAATCCAACCATCATGTTGATGAACAAGTGTTGAAACAGAATCAACATCTGTTCGAATACCAGTTACATTACTCGCAGCATTAAATGTACAAAGAATATGTTTTTCTGTTTTATTACGATAATATTCTAATTTTTCTTTTAATACATCTTGATCAAGAAGACCTTGCTTATTGGTAGGAATACGTACTATCTAAACATAAACAAAATCAATATTTTTTTTGTATAGTTTTCTATCGAATTTACTTCGATTCCTGTTTCTTTCCATGGTAAAATATTTGAATGATGCTCAAAGGCACTAATAAATATAACAGTTTTATTTCGATTTTCTTCATCATTCAAATGCAACGTATTGACAAGCTTATGTATTGCACCTGTTGATCCTAGAGAACATCATCGCCAAATTAAATAACATAGGAGCTCCAAAAAAGAAAATATTACCAGTTCCGGTAAATATGACAACATCATTATCAGTAGCATTAACAGATTTCTTAACTAATGCTCGTGCTTCACCACGAAATTTTGTTGTTTGTAACGAACAAGCATTATTTTCACTATGCGTATTGCCATATCTGTCAATAAATTCAACGGGAATAATTCCTTTGTCTTATAAAACACAAAATAATTACGATGGTATAACATAGTTTTGTATATAATTTTCAATAAATCGAAGAGATCGTCCTGATGCTGTATAATCTGCATAAATCACTGAATACGTTTATATATATATACATGTATAGAGGTATGATATTAAATATGAAAATTATACTTTTTCGAGGTCCCCATGGTCCATTGACGATATAATCTTTACCGATTATATTTGTCGCAATATATTTAAATAGATTTGTTTTCTCTAAAGTAGACATCCATTAAATAATAAATAAAAATTTCTATGATCCTTTAGGAATATTTTGGATTAGCTATTTGATACTACCATTATCTTGTGTATTCGAATTTGTGGGTGATGCTCGATTATTATTCGATAATACAAAACCATTAAAATAGCCATGATATCCAATTAGATTAGAGTCATTAATAGTTTGAGAAAGATCATGATTTGTGTTCTGTATGATATGATGAAATGTTTGATGATTGAGTGAAGCACCAGTTGTAACATTGGATATTTGCTGCTGAAAATCAAGGAGAAAATAATCTTTCTTTTGGTCATATATATAAAAATTCTACTATAAATAAAGACACTCGGAAAAATTCGTTTTTTATCAGTTCATTTAAAACTGCAGAGATGATAGAAAGCATTACATGAATTACCAGCTAGTTATCTCTATGATACCAGAATTCTAGTAGCACCAAAAATGACAACTATGCTAATATACTCCTCGTAATATTTTCGTGAAGTACTAGAATCCATAGAAGCGGAAGACATGAATCAACTTCGTCAGCTCACTTGCTCATGATCGTTTCCATTAGTAGCTAGATTTGAACTTGAACCTGCTTCAAAGTTTCGAACTTGACTGTTGGTTTCATTGTTTTGATGTGATAATTGCCATCGAAAATCTCTTTTCATGGGATCAGAAGATGTACATAAACATAATATTGTTAACTGATCCACATTCGACTTTTTATGAAAATCTAAAATAAAGAAGGAAAACATTATTTTTCGTATACAAACAATTCACACTTACCGCTTTCCATGATAAAATCATGTATGGCATTCTAGTAAAAAAGAAGACAAGCGAACAATACACTTCATTGGTTAGAAGCAGTTAAGTAGTTTTTTTGGCAGTTTTTCACCGAGTGGTAGAATTAATTTCACCATTTTACAGAAAAGAAGCAGATTTTATTAAACTCCTGCATACTTTCGAAGAAAATATACATTTGTCGGTTAAAATCCAGGTTTTCGTAACTTTCTCTTCGTTCTAGCAATGGCGCGAGTGAGAAGGGGAGAACAATAGGTAGATTTCTATAGTATAGAGAAAAGGCACGTAAGCAATAGTGATGGTTATATTCTTCTAAAACTCCGCACACGCTAACTGCGTAGTCTAAATATGGCAAGTTTTGGTATTTAACGCAAAGAAATGGTGTTATTTTACATGTCATTCAGTAGATCGAAGCTATTATTCATTTAATAGAGCAAGAATAGGATGAGCACCATGTAAAATTATGAAATAGCCGAATGCTAAACTTAGAAAAAACTCAACTTATATCTCATTATTTGTCAAAACAAGTAATAGTGCGTCAGGCTCTTCCTAAATGATCAAATCAATGTATATAGCAAGTTAATATGGTAGTCAAACCGATTGAAAGAATAAAATGATATTTATACTTCGTATAACGTGTGTCGCATATCATCATTGGAAGAAAATAATTAATGCATTGAAGATGTAATGTACTTCACAGTAGAAGAAACGTTTTCAGTCTAACAATATTAAATTCATCTAATAAGTTGCTTGAATAATAGCAATACATGGACACATTTCCCACATGATTAAATATAAGAGCACTCGTATCAACTATAGAAAGTTGCAATCGTTTTGGATGATTTATTTGTTAAGCTATTTGAAGCCTTTTCACATTTTATCTCCAGTAAACAACAAATAGAGTTTCTGATTTTCACATTTTCATTTCTCAAGAGACTAAACACGATAAGTTTTCGGACAGCTTTTACCATATCAACCAGATTATCTAACAATTTTCTGGTATATAATCAGCGACATTGGTCTATTTGGTACGTTAGAAACTGCTCTAAAATAGGGGAGATCCTTTATCTTTAATTTCCTTTATTACTAAAGGATAAAGGTAAATGATTTACTGGTCGCTATTTCCTAAAAATAAAGGATTCATTTATTTTTGCCTAGTACAGTAAGACTAAGTCACCACTCATATTATATAGCCAATTAAGATATCAATATTCTTCGATGCCTCTTGCGCCAAAACTCTTACAATTGCAAATTTCCATCGCTTTTTACAATGAGGAAATGAGAAAGTTTTCGATCTAAGCGATCTCTTTTGTTTCATCGATTATGTAGACTGTTGTTTTTCAAAACTCTTTAATTACAATACCATCGGATTTGTTTGGATTCATAAAAACGTACATTTTAATAGCATCTCAAAGAAGTTACTTATTGTCAGACGAAGTATAGCTAGACAGTAAGAAATCGGGAGTCACGAAGAATCGGCAACTTTTCTTATTACAAGGACCTACGGTAGGCCTGAAGGATTCTCGTCTATAACTAATTAAAATGGAGAATGAATGTCTTTTTTAATCCAATTGGCTAAGCTATGTTTTGTTGCGTTCTGTTGGGGCTCAGTGGCTATAGGTTACTTAGTCACGCTCACAAGTCACAAGATGCAGTTTTTCGGGATGATGCACCAGCCGGGAGCCAGCACAAAACCATCCTTATATATTCATGTATTTGTGGTTTGGTGTTCTGTGTGGACAAGCTGTAGAGCATCGTGCGCGATGGTCTTAGTATGAGAGACAACATACTTCACACAGAATGTTCTTTTCATGCATACAACAAAAACTGTTTGCAGTTTTTAGCTTATCTAATGACGACGTCAACGCGAATGGTCGGAAATACACAATTTCAGTCCCACAAAGTAGTTTTTATATATTCTTCGTGATGCTGTTGTTCCATCACAGTACTTTCTCCATCTGGAGAGTCACAAATAATGATGTCCGAACGAAGAATATCGTGTGGTTCTCAACTTTTAAGAAAGATTGGTGCTAATATAGACAAAGAGGCTATATTTTGTGTTTGATATAGAAAGCAAAATGAAAGCTTAAGTCAGCTACTTGAGCGTTCAGACTTCTTTATACTTTTTGGAGCTTACTCTCTTTATGATCCTTCACTTCTTGATGTTTGAGGACTCCTCTCTGCATACCATCGAACTTTCACAGACTGTATATGTTAGCTATGAGCTTCGGTTTTGAACTCAAAGCAACAGTGGTAATCAAGATGAAAAATAATGAAAACGCGAGAAACAATAGTAATCCAATTTCTTTGATGGCTTAATGTTGATTCTAACCAAATCTAACGTTTTGACATCATTGTCGAACGAGAAAGCTTACTCGCGACCTGTAATCCTTGACGTAGTTATGATAGAACAATGAAACAAATCGCACTAGTTCATTCGGTTAGATATCGTCCCAATATGATATTTGATTGTGGTGAAAGGAGAACTGACATGCTTTTGGCTGAAATTCAGCAATATACAGATTATGTCTCTTGTGCTCGAATCAGTGATTCTTACGATCATGACTGAGCTGATTTTCCTATTAAATGGAACGATTGGGAGTCTTCAAAATTCATCTCTATAATGATTCTATATTGTTCCTATGGATGTTACGATATCATAGTCGAAAAATACAGTGACATTCATAGTGATTCCAGAGCCGATGGAATCAACAGAATCACGGAATCAGCTTTTCCCCCTTGTAAAAAGTACATTTTTTTACATTAGTGATTTATGAATGCTCGTAAAACGTTTAGGTATTATATTTTGATCATAATTTCCCTACATATTTATTAGTCAAAAGAAAAATAACAAAAGCTACATTACTTACATTCAAGTTCCAATTATGTTGATCAAGATGATCAATTACATCATCGTTATTCGCCCAATTCGTTATCGACTATAGATGCAATTGATAAATAAAAGATTTTCATTAAATCAAAGTTTTACCTGAAAATGATCAATTATGTCTTCTCTTGCTTTTGCCATCATTTACTAAATAGAAAAATTGACTCATTTGTTTAAAGAATAAAATCTATACGTAAAAGATTGATAAAAATATTTTTCTGTTTAAAAAAAGCGAACTGTGTTCAACTTATTTACTATAACATTTCCAAAATGAGAAAAGAAACGGAGCATTCGAACTTTAACAACATTTTATAAACACTTGAGTTTAATCATGCCTATCTTGTCATAAAACTGAATAAAAGGAAAGAAAAGAAAATATATTTATAAGATAACCTATTTCACCTAGTCAGAGCAAGTACCCTGAGGACATAAACCAATAGCACTAAGCGAGTGGCAGACATAGTCGATATGTTCAGAATTTTATTCTCGAATAAGATTGAACATTTATCCTTAAATTATTTCAAAATATGAAAGATGGTAGTTATAGTTTATTGTTTTTTTGTCAATTCTGTATTTCGATTGGAATATATCGAATTTGAAAAGCAAAATATTTACTAAACTACTTCATTTTCTAGAGCAATGTTTTCAACTGTATAGAGTCCTTGGTTATTATTTTATTTTAGTGACCTAGATATTTTTGGATCCTATATGCCAACAACGTAGCAGAGATTCTCAGTTCTAAACAATTATTTTGGACTATAGACTATTGTTTATAGTTCTCGAAGAAAGAGGAATATTTTAAGGTAATAAGCAGTTGCTCTGTCTTACTCTTGTTTGCCTTACATTTATCATAGTGTAAACGAGCTGGTGATTGTTTACTCTTCTTCATGTATATTCTTATCATCTTTTTCACTTTATCAGTTTTTCAGTACTGTTATAGCATCTAAATATGTTATCGCCGAATAGTACAGAGAGAGAAAAACTAGAGGGTGTGGATGTTGATAGATAGACGTCTATGAGACATACTCTCCGCACGTGTCTAAATGTAAAAGAAGACTGATATTTATTTTTTAATATAAAGAAAAAATATTGCAATAGAAATAGTCGTCGATTTCAATCACGGTCTGATTCCATATTTAGTATAGATAAATCACCTACTGAGAAATTCAGATAATCTGAAATGTGTAACACTATATGATTTAACTATAAAAACACATCTATGGAGAACAAACTTTCGTTGGTATGCAAAAGCTTGAATAGGTAAACATTGATTGAGATATGGAGAAGTTTAACGATACCAAAAGCAAAGTTTCTAAACACCTGGTTCTACTTAGCAGAAATTATTTCTAAAACTGTTTCCCAACTGTAGGAAACATATAAAAATACATTCAAAATTTTATTGTATTAATATGTGAAATATAGATTTTTTATTAGCTTTGAATTAGCATAAAGAAGTTTTTCAATTTTGTTCTTTTCCGAAGTTTCGAGCGATACTACAAGCAATTATTTCGAATTCCTGTTCGGAACCAAATGGGAACATTAGTTTTTATTTGGAAATTCGTTTCAGCCATCCTTTTTGATGTGTAGTAAATAAATATTCTTTGGCACGATCGATTTCAAAACGACCGTGACCCTCGTTTTTCATAAACCAATTGACCGCTTCTTGAGGACCATTACAAGGACCATCATATTTGGATTGACCACAGTAGAGGGTATGCCATTTTCTTGATAGTCGAGTGTCTTGTACAAGCATATAATTACTAATATTTACTACGTATTGTTGATAATATAGAAGCTCATTATAGACAGCCTCAGCATAGTGGTCACCATCAAGAGAAATGAATACATTATTTGGTTTCATTTCGAAAACTGTTTTATTAACAGTTGCTCGTGCAGCAGGCGAGACACTACTTTCCGGTATAAAAAGTATGTAAGGCGCAAGAAGTGTAAAGTTCTCGATATATTTACGAGCTTCTGGATTGATATCCATAGTAATGATTTTGAATGGGCGCATAGAATTTTTTTTTGCATCGTAACGATACTGATACATAATCGATGCAAAAAACAAAGCAGCTGCTCCACGATATGTGCCTGTTTCAATCACAAGATCAACATCTTGATTGTACAATATTTCGGCAATGGTAATTGCATCATTAGGATTTTGTAAGAAGTGGACACCCAAAAATGATTTCAACGCCCTAAATATATTAGAAAAAAATAATAATGCATAATAAAACAATGTAAGCCCATGCCTTTGAGATCCTATATCGATGTGTTTCTTCATTCTTAATATCTTTGGCTTCGTTACAAGACCGTTATCTGCTTTAAAAATTTTCTCAACACCAATATAGTTCTTTGCCATTGCAGTCAGTATCGAAATTTAAAAAATATTAGCTCCTTTAATTCTCAGCTTTTTTCAAGAAGATAGTACTGCAAGAGAATGTTATCTTAATATTTACCGGCAGCATTTTAAACATTTTTTGAATGCCAATGGCAAATTTTAAGATTCAAAGTGTTAAAACTGAAAATTTTTAATGATAGCGTTTTCTTCAAGAATATTCATGGATTCTCGCCTTGATTTGTTTTAACAAGCTATGAAATTCAGACACGTAGATGGTGAGCACATAGCATTGTAATTCGGTCGCCGAACAAGGTAAATGCTTTTCCAAGGTTTTTGAAAAGGTAGTATGACATGAAAAGTAACATTGTTCGAGCATTCATTGTGCTATCGTATGACTTTCAATGGTTGCTTTATTATTCACTGAAATTCAGCATAGGGCGTATAAACTCAGTCGACAAAATAAATCAAGGCTATTCTATTATGGAAAATGTGTAATTTTTGATTAAAATAAATTTTCAAGGAATAGAATACAAATATGGAGCAATCTTGACTAAATAATAGTGGTACCCAAATGTCAATGCACTATCACTGATTCAATTAATATCGAACTCATTCGCTCGAGCACTTACCATGCATGGTTTTGTTCGTAGAATTTGTAATATTCTTCGTAAAATTCTCCGATGTTTTTTTGATTTAGAGAAAGTTTTACCTCAGCAACATTCGTAATTATTTGTGTAGATTCCTCTGATTTCGAAGTTGAGTTATTAGCTAGTCGATCAGTAATATCCTTACCAACAGGAGCGAGAGACTTATGCGAAAATAAATGTTGTGATGCAATAAATATGCCAACCAGTAATCCAAGAAGAAAGTTTATTGTGGACTTTATCGCTATGTGTTGAAAAATATGCAACAGTAATCTTTGTATTAACATTATCTAGAATTTCGCACAATTATTAATTAGTTTCTATATTTTAAGTGAAGAATATCTTTTCCATCAAAACGCAACAGAGCACTATGGAGGACTCGGCTGCAAAAATAGTCATAAAATGAAAATCTTCAGTTCCTGATTGATGTTTTGATACAGAATAACTAGGTGTTCTCTTGCTGTAAAACGTTCTCAGAGATAGGTAAGCATAGACGGAGAAAGACAGAAAAGAGACATAATCAATTGAGTCGAATGAAGGAGAGGAGACGCACACTTTATATCATTATAACCAGAGTAGTCCCATGTAAAAAAAAGGGCAAATAATCAGATTATAATCGATTAATTTTTGATTATTAATCGATTCCAAATCCTTTAATAATCAGAAACAATCGATTATAATCGATTAAGATTTGCTTGAAATCGATTTAAATCCATGAAACCACCTATCTATGCCTAACCACTAAAATCTATCTGTCTTGATTCTATATCGTCAGCAACTCTCTGTCTATTTCTAACCATCTAAATATCGAAAAAAGGTACCATATGGAACTTAAAAACGATTTCGAGATTTTCATCGAAGCCGGCACGATTTTTGAGATTCGTAAAAATATGTCTAAAGATCAAGCCGTCTTTAATTTACGTTCAAAATGATTTCGTTGTTAAAATTATGTCACGATTCTAATGCGACCGATCTACGTTTGCAGAATGAATACCGACAAACTTATGCCTTTCACTATCCCTTTATTCTATTTGATGCAGCGTCTTATATGTAATCTCTAGCAGATTTATACAATCGAAATCTATCTTATTTACATATCAATTTAATACATATATTCCCCTTAACGTATCCCCTTATATATATACGTATATCACCTTAAATTTAATCTATCTCCCTAATCTTAATTCATCTCTCTAACTTAAACCATCAACCTTAATGTATCACAATATCTGTCTAATCCCTGACTGACTATTTCGATCATCGATAAGAACCTAAAACAAAAGACGATGGATAAAACAGGTTGTTATTATTGAATTCTTACCAGTTCAAGAACGAATATATGACATGAGGCTTTTTCAATAGTACTAAAATGGTTTCAGCTTTGGAAAATAAAATGATTCATAGAGAAAATAATTATTGATCCAATAGAATATACTGGATATTGTGGGCAGTTTTAGTTCACTAAATACATCTCAAACTGAGCAACCCATGGCATAAAAAATTGAAGGAAACGGGTCACGTAACGCGTTTCTCCAAGACAAAATGCCTTTCGCAGCATTTTATTGAGATAGAATGCGTTTCGCTACGTTAATTTTTCGAAGCAATACGAAAATTTTATTTTCTACATTGCGTTTCGAACCGTTTTTGAATTGAAACGCTGTGAAACGCACTTCAGCCTGCAGACAACGCGTTTTAGAGTCACGATTTAAAAAAAATGTGCAATGCGTTTCTGTTTCAAACGCGTTTTGCATCATTTCTGATTGAAATGATGCAAATATTCTGTATGCAAGATCAGAATTGCAGTCTTCTAAAACCTAATGATTTTAAGCCGTTCTATAAAGCAAATTCGAACTTAGACTATTGCTGAGCACCAGGGTATAACAAGAGTACTTGCTTTCCCTTAGAAAAATCATTTCGCTGGGCTTTCACCGAAATAAAATGCATTTCGTAGCGTTCAATGAAGAGCTGCTTTCAATATTGAGCAGTTAGAGAATATTCAGTAACGGCTAATACAAAAATAATACTTATGAAGCTGCTTTGTTTTGTTAGCGTGGGAAAAAAAGAATTTTCGTGTAGTCTAAGATTTTAATAATAATTATTGTGAATCATATATAGATTACCCGATACTGACTAATGATACTACCTATAAAGTGACTAAAATATGATTTTGGTTCGTATGATATTGATGTAACTGGGCTTTGATTACAGAAGAAACTCGAATTACAGAAGAAACACGAATTACAGAAGAAACTCGAATTACAGAAGAAACACGAATTACAGAAGAAACACGAATTACAAAAGAAGCTTTCTTTCATTTATCAATGTCATTGAGTTGAAGGATGCTGAATTCATAGTCACAAAAATTCAATAGCCCAGAAAATAAAACACAAACATTTTAAAGTTTAATTCTTCTCAATTCATATTTGATTTGATGCATTCAATTTTTCTAAAATATTAAATCCAATTTAGATCCGATTAAATTTGTTTCAATGGGGTGTCCCTAATCTACTCTCCCCCGACAACTCCCCGCAAAATAACGAAATCCCTGGCGAGTCCCTGTCGTGAGTCCCCGGAGACTTTTTATTTGTGGGACTCCCTGGGGATTCTTCGAGGGAGAGTTGACTAGAGTGTACTCAAATTTTAATTTCAAAGAAGGTAAAAATAAAGTAAATCAACAGGAATATGGCAACAATAATTAGATTTAAGTATTAAGGAAGTGATAATTTTTAATTTATCGATAAGACACCGAAAATCTATTTCAATAACAAGTTTATGCGAAAGTCAGAATCACGAGACAATAGATAGAGATATCATTTGACTATTTTAGTTGAACGGTTTGTGTGCATGTCCTTTAGTATTTTGTTCTCGTGTTCGAATCCATCTCTTAACTTTATCGAAGTTTATGTAAATTATAGTTCTAGAGTTCTATGAATCAATGCAAACGAGTATATGGATCGTATATGCAACTCAACTTCTATGAAGTACTTGATGGTTTTCAATTTTTTTTCATCCAAAATATGCGATACAAATTTCGGAAACAGTACAAAACGTTGTCAAGAAATGATCGATTCGCAACGTTTGCTTTGGCAGATATGGAATGCGTTAAACCGACCAGCATTAACGCCTTTCGCAGCTATGGGAAAACGCGTTCTCATAACGCCTTTTTTTCGAAGAAATTTACGCCATGGGAATGATAAGGATGGAAAAAAAATTGGAATACTACAAAAAAAACTCTCTGAGAGGCTTGAGGGCTTTGATTTCTTTCATTTTCCGGGAAATTCTAACAGAATTAAAAGATCTAGAGGCTTTTTGTTGTAACAAATAAAAACTTGAGATGGATTTTAGTTCGTTATTGTACATTTTGAGGTTGAGTATACTTGGAAAGTCTACGGTTCGTCGCGAAACATTTCGAAAACTGAAATGATATTTCCACATACCTCATAAGATTGCGACTAAAGATTTTGGCAGTATTAGTTTCCGAGTATATACTCTGAGAGTTTCTGAAAATACGATTAGTTTTCGAATGTCAAGAAAAAGAGATTCCAAATCACTTTACGAGTGTTGATATGGTTTTTTTAGGGGATCTAAGGGTTTCTAAACTATCAACAGCCAATATGATATTTACAGAAGTGATGTTAGCGTCCGGAAATAATATAGCAAATCTCTAATGATTCCCGAATGGTTATCAGAGTGCCGTTTGTTTTTCTACGAAACGAATTGTTTTTAGAGAGTACTTAATTTACCCCCTTGATCTTAATATAACCTTCTGCCTGATTTCCTCAACATTAATCGGATCTAACCTCTATAGACTAATCTCATTATGCATATATGGTTCATGACTCACCATTTTAGTCGCAATCTAACCGCAAAGTTATTTCCGTACCTTTAAGTAACCGCTTCACTTAAGCGAATGTACTTGAGGCAGTCAACAGAGAACGTAAGCAATTGGGTTTTTATTGCGATTTGAAATTGAAATGCAGTACTTCTTTTTTATAATCTTTAGCAGTTCAACCGTTTAGATTTGTTTTGATTACTGCATATTAAGTATACTTTACTCGATTCAGAACATGATTAGTAGCGGAGCAGTTAGTGTTTGACTTCCATTAAACTCGATAAGAAAACAAATTTAGGCAGATATATCTACTTCAAAGCTCATGTTCTGAAATTAAATTAGAGGAGTATTTTACGAAACCTTTTCAATTTTCAATACTGGAAAAAATTTATCACGAAACTTCCCTAAATACTAAACCTTGGCAAGGCTTCTTTACGAAACTCTACATGATAATAAACTCTTTTAAAGTTTCGTATGTGCGAGCGAAACTTTTTAAAGCATAGCTAACTACTACGGAACCCTTACAGTTCCGTATCGTACCTTTTTGTTCAGTGTAATTATCCAGAAACTCCTTATATCTGTCGATTTCCCACACGTATATCTATCTCGATCCTGTTATAATATACTACATGTTCTTATCTAGTTGTTTTCTCGCCCCCTCAATATCTAACTTCTAAATAAATATGTCTAAACCCCTACACATATATGTTGATGAGCCTTTGCGTATGTGTTTCTGTTAAATATAGACTTATACTCATTTATCGAAACATATGTTCCTATGGCTACTACTAACCCGTATGTTTGTCTGTGTTACTTGTGTTAAAGTAGAAATGAAGAAATGTCGTATTGTTTTAAACTAAGAACAGCGTGATTATAAAAGACGGACACTAAATAAATACACGAAGGATATAGATCTGGGCATGAAACGTTCATCATATAATACGAACAGAAGTTAGCAATTTGCGATGACAAATATTTTCAACTAATACACTGTAAAAGGTATAACAAAACCCAGTCATACAATAATGTTTAAAATATAAATATAGAAAAAAAAATTAATTAAGCAGATACTATGTTTCTTTCGACAATATGTTAATGGTTTAACAAGTTTAGTGAGGAAACTTTGATTGCTCTGCAAGTGAAGTGTTCTCTATTGCCCAAAGAATTGGCTCCGTATAGAAAAATAGATAGTGTAGAAACGGTAATGTGATATCCAAGCTCGACTGCAAAGTGAATCATAAATATGTCAATGGAGAAAATAATTAAGATCGGGCTACTTTCTGATTTCTGCGTATTTATACGAAAGTTCAAAGGATTGGTTCAACACTTTTTTGTCGGTGTAATGTAATACTCATCCAGCGAGTACGACTTACCAGACGAGTATTCAGATTCATGGACGAATATTGGAGGGATTTCGTGTGTATGTATACTTTGAGATTAATTTGACGAGATACTCATTGGTATTTTTCTTTGGAGATTTACTTACTAGCTAAAGTAGGACTACTCATTGTGGTACTGATACTCGTTTCTTCGCAAGTCATTTAACAAAGCACTTATGGCTTAGAATGTCGAAAGGAATGATATACTCAAATCGAGCATAGAGAGAATGTGTTGTAATGATGTATCCATTTATTCCTCTATTCTTTTCTGATGAGTTATTCAACTATTTTGATTAATGATGACTTTAAGAAAGAAAAAGGAAATTTCATTTCAGTTATTTTTTCTTTTATGGAAGACACGTGTAGTTTTTGAAAGAAGACTAATTAATATTTTACGTTCGTTTTTTTTTTATAAAAAAATACATGAAAGATAGCCACTAGTCTAAAAGAAGATTTCCCATAATAATCACCATTGGATTTGTTCATCAACACACTTCTCCATTTCACTGAATAATTGATTATTCATTTCTCTTCATTTGCATTATATTGTTCTCATAACGTATATGAATTTGCCTACTCATGTACACAACAATAAACGATATTTACATCTTCAGAGAATCAAGAATGTTATCGATTGTGGTAGATTATATAATCAGTATTAGCTAGTTTCAGAAGATTATCAGTCTCATAATTATGATCGATTCCAAAGCATAGCAGATTCTATTAGATTATAATCGCTATCACTTCATTTTAGACCATACTAATTTTAATGATTAGAATTGATGTCAAAATCTAATCGATTCTGGTAGATTATAATCGGTATCACTTCATTTTAATCTTGAAAAAGTCATCAGTTACCGATGAAAATCGATTATTCCTGAAAATTGGTTCTACTCTGATTAATAAATAATCATAAACAAGCGATTATACTTCGCATTAATCGATTTGATATAATTCTGGTGAAGAAAACGATGATTATCGACGAAAAAACATTGATTCCAGATCAAACACCAGAAAAAGTCGATTGTAATCTTAAAATGAATCCAAAAAAGCACAATTGCTAGATTTTCATCGATTATTAGAACTACGAATCGATGAAAATCATGTAAATGTTGATTTTTAGGCTTCTTTTTTACATGGGGATATACGACCGTAATCACTGTAAAAAAAAGGATTTATGAAAGTGCAACGTGACACACACCCTTTTTTCCGTTTTTGAAATATCTGATAAACCATTTTTCCAAATCATAAACCTAAAAACCGTTTATTACCTTCGTCATATAGGAAAAAAATGGTTTATAATACGTTGCAGTTTCATAAACCATTTTTTTGTTAAATACCCTATCAAAAACGTTTTTTCCGTTTATTATTCACCGGATTTTTTTACAGTGATACGGCGCATACAGAAACGTTAAAATACTGCCCGTATACGATCATAAATTCCGCGTATACGATCGTAAATTCTGCGTATACGACCGTTTACAGTCATATCTAGTCGTCGTAATGCACGACCTGGGTAGTAAAAAAACTGGTTTATTACTGAATATGTATCCAAGAGAAGAAACTTTGGAGTTTCGTACTGATTTGCTGGACCTAAAATCGTTTAGCAGATAATGGTATTATTTCTTTTAAATTCCGTAAACATGTACGGAACTCCAAAGGTTCTTCCCTTCGATACAGGTTCGGTAATAAACATGTTTTCTTTAGAGTGTAGTGGGTGTGGGCGTGACTGTAATAACAAATAGTCAAACCCACACCCACACCCTCTTCATTCAAGTCCATTTGTTCTGTTGTCAAACATGAAAAACTTGTTCGACATCTGAATCGAGATAGTGCTTAACATATTTTCTTCTGATAAGAAAGAATGNATATCATCTATTTCATTATGATTATGATATGTCAACTATTATTGTTTAGGGTATGGCCAAATATCAATTGTACATTGAAATAATAATTCTCTAGAAAATAAAAATAAAATCATTTGAGCACTTATATTTCATTTATCAACGCTAGCTATTTTTTCTGAAACTTCTATATTAGAAAAGAAATAAAATATAAGTCGCCAACGTATAGGTACAATACTTAGCGTCTGAGCAACGAGCAAACCTGATTCGAAATATTAGTAATATTCAGTTGTTGTTATTCGATTTGAAGTCTAAATCAAAATCATTGATAAAACGTATCATTAGTGTGGATGTTTGCTGGTGAAAAATTCACAAAAACAACGGATGAAAAATGCGAATAGATAAAGTAAGTATAGTAATGAAAAACAATATCAGGTATGATTGAATCTAAGAAACTTTTTCTCATCGAATAATTTGCCTTAAAATATGATTGTCATGCATTAAGTTTGTCATCAATTTTTGTTTTACTTTATTGAAGTTTATTGAAGTTTTAAAATGATTAGTGCCAGCGAAAAAGAAGGTGTGCAGGCATGATATTTTATTAGGATAAGTGCACTTTTTGAAGTAAGTGTGTATAATTAGCTGAGCAGCGTCATATATCCGAAATTTTGGATATGTGACACTTCTGAATTAGATACAAAAGGATATAAACATTTAGAATAGTTCTTTAATTCTTATTCAAAGTTTATACGGTCCAGTTGCTAGTAACCATACAGTTCTACTTCGCTATAAGCAACAGCGTTACTATCGTTTCTCTTAGCAGTGACAAGGAACCGATAACTTGTGTAGGTTTGAAGCAATGATATATTTTGAAAAGGTCCATACGTAGAACGATTTACAACGCTTTCTAAACCTGTTGGGCCAGTGTAGATAGTTGCCCAAGTAGTGCAACTGATCAAAGTATTACAATTGGATCCTTGTACTGTAATTTCAGTTGGATCACAATCTGGACTAGATTCATTAGAAGCAGTAGCAAAGCGAAATTTGACAAGGGTTGGTTGACAATGTGCAATCGTTAGATAAAATCCAGTATTAAGACCAGCTATTGCATCGATTCCACCCGATGAATTACCACGACTAATATAGTCTGTATTGGTATTGCCATCGAATAAAGTATCTGGCGACTCATTGCTAGGATATGTTCCTACACCTGATGCGTTTGCTGTAGCAATGGTACTTATTCCACCTGCGACTGTATTCCATATACCTTGTACAGATCCCGATTGGACAACCAACAAAGACGTTGCATCTATTACAGAAAATGAAAGTTGATGATAAATTCATATGAATAGAGAAATAAAATCTTTGTTAAGCCCAGAGATCGTCTGATATCTTTTCGAAAAAGCGATCCTTCTAACATAGAGCTTATCAAAAATAAAATCCTTCTGATGTATATATCGCTGTCAACCATGTAATATCATACGGCGAGACCCTATTTTATTTCTTTTCAGATTTCTCTAATATATTTCCAAAAATTATCTTGGTATATTAAAATATAATTGATACTTACTTGCTCCACTGGTTTGGCTAGATGTTTGACTGGAAGAACCAAAGAGTTGCACTTCACTATAGCTAATGAATTCACTTGAATTTCGTTTACTTGTAGTAAGAAAACGATAGTTATTGTAAATAACGCTGTTCGAAATTGACTGATATTTACCATATTGTAAACTATCTACTTGGATCTCAAGACCTATCGATCCAAAGTAGAGCAAAGTCCAATTCGAACAAGTTAATAAATTGGCACAGTTGGTCCCTTCGACTGTAACCGTAAGTGGTTCACACTCTGACAAATTGTACGCATGGCCAAATTGAAATCCGAGAAGTACGGGTTGGCATTGAGCAACAGTCATATAAAAACCAGTACCGAGTCCAGCATATAAATTTGCTCCGCTGCTAGAATAACCACGAGCAGAGTATATGGTGCTAAGGTCATCATCGAACAGATTATTTGGAGATTGTCCCGTAAAGTAGGTACCGGTTCCAGTACTGCTTTCTGTCGCTAGTGTGTTGATTCCACCGGCGAATGTATTCCAAACACCATGAACAGTACCAGGTTGGACGTTCAAGAAAGCTGGTAAACCTATAAAAATAAAACGTTGTTATTATAATGCTATAACATGGCACAGCTTGTATTGAAACACAATAATGAGAGGTAACGAACAAATCAATCTTCAACTGTGTTCATGCAATCACAATAACTGTTTTGGTTGAAGCAATCATGAGCACGCGGGTCTACTCTATATGAAACTAATCAAACCAAGCCAAAGATTTACTTCAAATTTATTGCCTTCCACTCTTCAGAAAAACCTGAAGACATATTTTCACTGCACACAACCTTGAATTTTAAAGAAATACGGCATATCGTAGATACGAGAACAATTCTTTTTCATACCAATCCATTACTTTTATATCGACAAATATTCGCATGTATAACTTTTCGAAAGATCAATGTCATTATCACTCTTCATTCTAAAAGCCAACCCACTGAATTGTATTTTACAAACATACAAAACTAAAATCTATAAAGCCCGTTCCTCAGATATATATGAACATACAATCATCATTCATAGAAATTAATCAATAAGTCAACATATGTGTAATAAAATTCAATTTACCTTCCTCATCGACTTGAAACCACTTAATATAATCATAATAACCTATGAATACTACAATCTGTAAACCTGATTCTCACTAGACAGTTTAAAGATATCTCATATCCCATGAAGCAAATACACACATCTTTCGCACTTTCAATGAACCAACACCGAATCTGTAAAAAAGATTTTGTTTACGCACCACAGGAAATTAGTCGACGCAGATACTTTTCTTGATAAAAATTCAAACTGTTCATAACTATGTAGCAATGATAAATAGATTGTGAGAAAGTGCCTATGCCCTCTTAACAAATATCAAAAGTTGCACATTTTTATGTGACAATTGAACGAAAATGCGCATATCATTCTCAAAAATCATTGAAATGAGATATGTGAATTTGAAATTTTTCGCGAACTGGCACATGCTTCCCCTATTTCGATCAAAACCAATCATAAATCTTACTATACAACGTAACATAGCATCACCATGTCATTCCTGAATATTAAAAATCCATAAAAGAATACTGGCAACACCTCAACTTTATACGAACAAATTCAAAGTCATTCACCAAGTTCACCGTCACAACAATCAATTCCCTAACAAAAAAAACTGCGCCTAAACTCATACCTACAGGACTTTTTCATTACATTGAGGGTTATACCTATCGATTCAACTAGTGGTAAAATACATTGAGCCTCTCTTAATCTCTCCAACCGCCAGTTCTAGCAAACAACATCTACCGAATACGAAATAATTAGTACACACAAATCACGCTAAAACTCACCCGTAGTGGTCGTTGTCGTCATTGTAGTAGTGGTCGTTGTTGTCATTGTAGTAGTGCTCTCTGTCGTGGTAGTGCTTGTGGATGCCGTCACTGTGCTAGTAGTCGCGGTTGTTGCGGTACTTGTTGTTGAGGCGCTGGTAGTACTCTCCGTTGTTGAGATAGTAGTCCCCGTTGTTGTACTAGTGGTACTCTCCGTTGTTGAGGTAGTGGCAACAGTTGTGGTACTAGTGGTACTCACCGTTGTTGAGGTAGTGGAAACAGTTGTTGTAGTAGTGGTACTCGCCGTTGTTGAGGTAGTAGCAACAGTTGTTGTACTAGTGGTTCTTGCCGTTGTTGAGTTAGTAGTCTCAGTTGTTGTACTAGTGGTACTATCCGTTGTCGAGGTAGTGTCAAGAGTTGTTGTGCTAGTGGTACTCTCCGGATCGGAGG